AGAGAAAACAAGAAACAAAAGCAGTCAAGACGCAGGGAACATTCCCTAGCATGATGCTGACACGGGGCGTGTGCGCGGCCTCCGCAGATCTGTTCCCTCCTTTGTCAGAGTGGGAGAGCGGCTCCGGCGGGGAGCTGGGTGCACAGGCCCTCCCAGTCTCCTGACTGGCCCTGGAGCTGAGGTCGGAGCCCTGGCGCTCAAGATCAGTCCTTTCGCAAATGTGCTGTTTTCCATGTTGGAGAAGAATTCCAGAGTGAGTGGGAAAGTGGAGTTAGGAAATTCAGACTCGGATGGTGGGTATTGAGGGCGAGGATGTGTGGAAGGCGCCGGGATTTGAAACCCACCGGAGCAGCACGCGCGTTGCGTGCGCACCACGTGCCTTTGCAATGCCCCTCGGGAGCGAGCCTTCATCCAGAGTTGCTAGGAGACCTTATGGCTTGACGTGCTTCATGCAGCCAGCAATTGTCTCTGATTTCCACTTTGAAGTATGTGCGTGTTCCCCGAGACCCGGCTGTCAGGAGGGAAATGGCCGAGTCCACGGCCTCAGACAGTGTGTGGCCTGCCCCCGCGGGGTCCGGGAGCGGCTCCTTCGGGGTCCTCGTGTCCCGTGTTCCCTCCCTGAGCTCTGCTGGCCCAGCGGCCATCCGCGTGGTTTCAATGAGAAACAAAACAGAAGGGAACAAAAGGAGACCGTGGGAAAGGAGCCTCAGCCTTTCCTCCCGCAGTGTGGGGAGCCTGGGGGCAAGATGACTGTCCCCAACTCTGGGGGCGCCCATGAGGCCCTGAGCGCTGGCACCCGGGGCCTGCGTGCCTTCAGGGAGAGTGGGTTTGCAGCCACGGGGACCTTGCCCTTCATCTGCGCCCGGTGTGTGCTCAGGCCACTGTGCATCTCAGCCTGCCTCCTGCTGGGCAGACCACCCCGGCCTCCCCGAGGTATGCCTGGGTCATGGCGCAGCTGCGTGGTAGGGCACAATGAATGGAATGGGAGACACTTCAGCAGTTTCCTTCATTTTTTAAAAAGACTTCATTTATTTATTCATGATAAACAGGCAGAGACATAGGCAAAAGAAGCGGGCTCCCCGCGAGGAGGCCAGTGCAGGACTCGATCCCAGGACCCCAGGATCATGACTTGAGCCAAAGACAGATGCTCGACCACTGAACCCTCAGGTGCCCCTAGCAATTTCCTTCCTTAATTTTAGTTTCTTTCTCCACTGGACTTTTAAAGGGCCAATGGTTGATCTGTCAGTCTTAAAAAAAAAAATTAATATTTGCCAGGTCTCAAAAAAAAGGATTTTAGTCAACATATGGGTCACCTTTCACTTCCAAGTTCTCAACAGTGTCTTCCCTCACCCACTTACATGCTTAGGCTGCGGCCCAAAGCATCTGCTCGGCCTGGGGCAGGGTGCCAGGCGCCCTTCCTCGCTGCTGTCCTGTGTGTCCTGGGAGGGCAGGTGCTCAGAATCACTCTGTGGGCTGCGTTGTTGGAATCCAAACACCTTTTATTTGAGAAACAAAAGCACCACCACCCTTGATGGGGTTCAGCTGCTCTGTCTGCAGTTTGTGGCCAGTCTTCCTGTTTGCTCCCTTGCCCTCATAGCCCCTTCCACCTGCACCCTCCCTTGGGCAGAGCTCAGGGCCACCCTGCACACACCAGGGCCCATGGACCTGTGAAGGAGAGGTGTCTTCTCTACCTTCCTTTGTTCTTCACTGCCCCTAGGACACAGTCTGTGCTCCTTGGCCCGCCATTTCCCCCTAAACCCAGACATACCAACCGTGAACTATGCTTCTGCTGCCCCAGGGTCTTTGCATATCTGGCCTCTCACCTAAGGCTTTTTCAGTTCCTCTGAGTCCCATTACCTTCTGATCACCCTCAGCTCTCAGTTTAGCCTTTATTGCCTCAAGGAAAACAAGCCTGAGGAAGAATGTTTTGGTGCTCATACTTAACAGGGTATTTTGAAAGTTTTTTTGTGAGCATCACCTCCTTTATCAACCATAAAATAGAGCAGGAAAGTACCTCAGACCCTGCTGATTGTGATGTTACCCCCTTAGGTACGTATAAAGTGGCTCGTTCTTCAAATTCACCTTTACCTCATTGTAGGTGAAACTGAACCCATGGTTAGGAGCCATCTTAAGCTCACTTAGTGACCAGCCACACTGTTCCCCAGTTTTCTTTGGTTTCTGGATCATTTTCATTTTGATATGCAGGCGCTCTCAAATATAAAAAAAACTAGTCCTTCATCTGTGTAATGGATTGTATTTCTCCACATTTTGCCTTTTGACCTAGCTTTTGGTGTTTTTTAACTTTCATCTTTATTTTTCAAGGTACAGTTGACATGTTACATGGGCTGCAGGTACACAGCACGATGAGTTGGTGTTTGTATACGTTGTGAAAACCATCACCACATGTAGTTCCATGAGTTTTTTCTTATGATGGGAATTTTTAAGATCTATTCTCTTCGGCACCGTCACATATGCAGTACAGTGTTGTAAGCTGGCTCCCCTCATGCCAGGACTTGTTTCTCTTGTAACTGGAAGCCTGTACCTTTGACCCCCCCTTCCCCCCCGCACCACTTTGCTGGCTCTTCTTGTGTGTGCGCCTGTGCGCGCGCGCGCGCGCACACACACACACACACACACACACACACACAGTTTGGTGTCGGCTGTTTATCTGTCTTGTCTCTCGGGGCTCTGAGCTTGCATCTTCTCTTCCAGAGTTTCTCTGATTTGATTTTCTTACATTTAAACCTTTGGTCCAGGTGAGATTGATTTCAGCCAGAAGGGACCCAACTTGATCATTTCTCTGGTGGTTTTCCAGCTGGCCTTGCATAGTTGTCGCCTTTTGTCCTGGGGACGAGGCTGCGGTGAGCCCAAGTGCTGTGGCGCCAGGTGGGGCCGGCCCCACCTCCTGGCTCTGGTTTGCTTTGTTTTCCCAGCATTTCACGTTTAGTTTTCCACGTGAACTTTTACATTTCAGCTCGTCTGGTTCTAATAAAACATCTATTGGAAAATCTGTTGGGATTACATGTTAATTCAGGGAGAATTAACATCTGTGGGGTTTTACCCCTCATTGCTGCGGTTACTGGACACAAATCAGAGAGAGCGGGTCTGTGTGTGAGCCTGCATCGTGTGAGTGTGAAATGACAGCTTTTGCCCGGGGAGCTCTCCACGTGGGGATTGCTTGGCAAGGCGATTCCAGGTGGTCCAGCTGCGTGATGGCAGAGTTGCTAAGTTCTCTGGGGGCCTTGCTCGGACCCCTCGCTGCTGGCTGTGCTGTGCTAAGTGTTTACCAGCGGTGCGTCCGTACCGTGTGGCAACTTGGTGTCTTGAGCCAGGGCCTGCCCTGCATTCCTCCGTGAGTAGTGGTGGCAGATTCCACCACCAGAGTTTCTCAAAAAATAACATGTACCGTGTGGTGGAGTCTAATGAGCCACAGAGAAGAATTAAAATTATTCTTCTCTTATCTTGTTTAATCTTCTGGATCTTAAATTGTCTTCTATAGCAGCTTAAGTTATTAGATTACTCTCCGACTTTCTATTTTTCTTTTCTTTTCCAATCTAAATGCTTTTTGAGCTTTGAATGACTCCTGTCCAAGTGGCCTCTAGTTACAGTGTGGGTCCAATTTGACCCAATTCCTGGCTCTGCTTTCTTGGTCCTCTGTTCCCTGTTTTCGAGGGGCTATACCGTGGCCTCCTCGAGGCCCTCTGGGCTCCTGCTTGTGGGCATGGTAGCCTCAGGCCTGGCCTCTGCCCACTGTGCTCTCAGCATTGCTGTGGGCAGGCATCAGCCTAAAGGGTACTCGTCCCCACTTCCTGGTCCCCTGGTCCCTACTTCCCCTGGTCTGCCTCCCTGGTCCCCACTTCCCCCACTGTTGGCCCTGTGTCACTAAGAAGGTGCATTTACAGTGGTTGGCCTAGAGCTACAACCAATTCCTCCCTTGGGCTCCTTCCCACCACCAGCCCCGTTGAAAAAACACAGGATGGAGCACATGGACCCTATTTCATTAGTCAGCTTTGTTCCTCCAAGCCTTGCACCCATGCAGGTTAGGGATGCTCCTGTCCCGTGTCCTCTGGTCAGCAAGCTGTGGCTCGGCCTTCAATCTCCTTGGTGTTAGGACCTGGGGAGGAAACGGCCCCGTGTAGGACATTGGGACGTGCTGTTTGTAAAGAAGGGGATGCATCCATGGCAGATTATGTGTCTGGTCCAGCTTCTGGACCACCTGTGTCTTTCCTTGGGTCTCACCGACCAGGCCCGCCCTCGGGGATACTGAGAGGCCCAGCATGCTCCTCACACGAGGTGGGAGACAGTGACATGGGGCTCCCCGAGTCCCTCCCCTTCCCTTTGTGAAGGAGCGGATTATTCGGGAACTTGCCTAAGAAATGAGTGAACTCAAACTATTTGGGGTTATTTCATAGCCTCTGGGGAGCCAGCCTCCTGCGGCACATGTGGTCTTTTCCATGCTGGGGTGGCCTCCAATCAGTTGTCACAACAACACGTGTGGTTAAATAGGACGTTAGAGTGTTCTGCCCATGCAGAACAGGGCACACGTGTGAGTGTGCTTTCACACGGCAGACGTTCCCTCCAGACACAGAGCCGCGTCCTAGGTCCCAGACACCCCGTCTGTGCCCACTTCCCTCTGCTCCCCCCATGGTGACCCGGGACCTCCCGAGCCTTGCAGGTGGAATCACTGGGAGCCCCGTTGTGTCTGCGGCGCTCGCTCAGCCATTGACGCGTGCGTGGTTGCAGTTGTTGCTGTCCCTGCTCCGTGGATGTGCACGCGGCTGCATGAGGACTGGCGTGAGTCCTGTTCCACGCTCCATTCCCTGCCCCCAGAATAACGCCGGGTGTGCTGTCTGCACTTGGTGCAGATCATTGATTGAATATGTGTATTAGAGAAAGTGCCTTGGGGACAGCCCCCTGTTGCCTCTCAGAAGGCTGGGCCGGGCCCTGCGGGGCAGGCTTGGGGGATACACGTGCAGGTGAGGTGTATGCTGGTCCCACAGAGCTGACCGGCACTGACCTGAAGGACTGCGTGAGCAACCACAGCCTGAGCAGCAATGCCAGCCTCCCCAGCGTGCAGAGCTGCAGGCGCCTGCGTGAGAGGAGGGCCGCCAGCTGGGCCGTGTCATTCGAGCGCCTTCTGCAGGACCCTCTCGGTGTTCGATACTTCTCTGTGAGTAGGGGGGCTGTGGCGGGGCCCAGGGGCCCCAGGCCCCAAGGACAGAGGCTGCCCTACCGCAGGGGTCTCCTCCTGCCCACATGCTCGGCACACTCGAGGCCAAGAGGTTGAGGGGGGGCCTCTGCCCAGCCTGGCCTGGGCTCAGGGTGGAGGATCTCCCTTCAGTGAGGGCCGCGGAAGTTTCTTGTAAATGCTTGGAGGTCAGCTGCACGTGGCAAGGCTGGCCCCGGGGGAAAGGGTGCTCTGCCCTGAGGAAACAGCTGTGAGTGCCCTGGTGGTCCTTAAGTGCCCGCAGCTTGTCTGTCATTTAGGGCCTTGGGTAAGTTAGGGAAAGAGGTTTAGAAGCCCCTGGTGTCTGTGAAAGGTGAGCACAGGAAGGCGTGGGAATGAAGTAGCAGCTTGGGAGGAAGGCAGGTGCCGTGGGGACTACCTGTGTGTGAGGGCTTATCAATGGTGTTTTTCCTAGGATTTCCTAAGGAAGGAATTCAGTGAAGAAAACATTTTATTCTGGCAGGCCTGTGAATATTTTAATCATGTTCCTGCACACGATAAAAAAGAGGTAAGTTTGTTCATGCCTGGAGAATGAGATGGTCTCACTGTGGGCTGGTGTCTTTCTTTTTTTTTTTTTTTAATTTTATTTATTTATTCATGAGAGACAGAGAGAGAGAGAGAGGCAGAGATACAGGCAGAGGGAGAAGCAGGCTCCATGCAGGGAGCCCAACGTGGGACTCGATCCGGGGTCTCCAGGATCAAGCCCTGGACTAAAGGCGGCACTAAACCGCTAAGCCACCTGGGCTGCCCTGTGGGCTGGTGTCTAGTGCAGTTGAGGTCGATGTAAAAATGTTCTCATGTGGTTTTGAAACACTTCTTTTTCAGAGTAAGTTTCTTAACATATGCGATACTTAGTTTTGTGTGAACATGGCACGTGTAAGTCCCCTTGCTGTAGACTGTTACCAGCAGATGTGCTGCCACTCAGTGTGTTGGAAGGGGAGCTTAAATGCCCAGAGGGGCACCCTGAGAACATCCATTTGTACAGCTTCCCTGCATGTGCCACACATGCCATCAGATTAGCCCTTGCTGGTGCCAGTTCTTCCCATGGTGTAGTCACTTGAGGCCACCCATGGCCCTCCTTCCTGCCACAGAACAGGCCTCTTATCTGCTTGTAACCTTGGTGCTACGTGGACCGAGGTCTTCCATCACCCAGAGTGTGCGCAGAACACTCCACACACGGGATGGCGTGCCTCGGTGTCCCATGGCTGCAGCACCTGAACAGTTACATAGCCCACTGAAAAAATTCAGGGAGGAGCCTATTCGGTGAAAAGTTTCATACTGGCTTGGACTTTTATTTATTTATTCAAGCAAGAAATATTTATTGGGTCTCAAGAAAATGCATCTCTAGTGCCTGGACCTGTGTCCAGCATTTGGGATCTGGGAGTGACACCAGCAGCACACATGCATGGCAGGGGAGCCTGTGTCCCACATGTCCCACTCATGCATGTGTCCTTCAGCTTTCCTATAGGGCCCGCGAGATCTTTAGCAAGTTCCTGTGCAGCAAAGCCACCACCCCCGTCAACATTGACAGCCAGGCCCAGCTGGCAGATGACATTCTCAGTGCTCCTCACCCCGACATGTTCAAGGAGCAGCAGCTGCAGGTGATATGCCTCAGTTTCCCACAGGGACTCCTTGCCAGGGCTCTCTCCTTGTTGCCCGATGGAGAAGGGAGGTGCCCATGGGTGTGGGTGTAGCTGGAGGGCTCTCTGGGAGCAGGCTTCATTCCGGCAGTGAGGTGACACTCCCTAAGCCCCGCAGGCCTGCCTTTGGCTCCCTCTCTGTGGTCACTCCTGCCTAGGCTGTGTGTGATGTCACGAATGCATGGCTGTGATGTGCACATAGGTATGGAGTTTTTTCAGTCCTAGGACATTACTGTGATTAAAAGGGTACATGGGGCCTACTGCTTTTTAGAGCATATATCCTGCTGGCCCTATCAGAGATGACTTCTGTTGCTAAATCATATGAATAATTTGGGGGGAAAAATGGAGGAAAGTATTTTCAAGGCGGTTCTCCCTTCCTTCAAGTCTCCAGCCACTGTGGGTTTCATTCTTTTTTAACAAGAGCTTCTCCAGGATTGCATGTTAGCTTGTCGCTTCAGAAGTTAACCCCTGTTGCATGTGCTCTGTAGATCTTCAACCTGATGAAGTTTGATAGCTACACTCGCTTTCTCAAGTCCCAGCTGTACCAGGAGTGCATCCTGGCTGAAGTGGAAGGCCGCTCCCTCCCTGACGCACAGCAGGTACCCAGCAGCCCGGCCTCCAAGCACAGCATCAGCTCAGAGCACTCCAGCGTGTCCACGCCAAAAAAGGTACCTGAGCTCCAGCCACGTCCTCTCAGCAGAGGGGAGCTGCTGTGTGGAGCAGATGCCGCTAGGACACAGCCCTCCTGGGAAGCACCCTCTCCCCTCAGCTGGGGGGCGGACGGTGGCAGAGCTGCCCTGTGGCTGCTGGAGGGTCTGTGCCATCCCACAGACACTTTACAGCTCTCCTCAGCTTCCTTTCATGCTTCATGTAACGTTGAAATAATGTTCTGTTAATGTCTCCATTGGACGGCAGCTGAGTGGAAAATCGAAATCAGGAAGATCCCTGAACGAAGAGCTGGGGGATGAGGATAGTGAGAAGAAGCGGAAAGGAGCCTTCTTCTCTTGGTCGAGGACCAGGAGCACTGGGCGGTCCCAGAAGAAGAAGGAGCATGGTGACCACACAAACGGTTTGTGGATGGAGTGGCTCAGGCACAGGCGGGGTGGCGGGGCCAGGCTCAGAGGCTGGGCTGGGAGAGCACGTCTGGGGTGTGCAGAGTGCAGTGCTGTGTCTGGGGTGTGGTCCCTCGAGGGTGGGCCCACCAGCTTCAGTGCCTTTTGAAAAAGAGGGTGAGGGTGTGTTCCAGCCCACTTGCCCTGGGCCAGGGGACCCTGCAAGGGTGGTTTCATGTCCGGTCCTCTCCAGGCCTCTTGGTAGGAAGCTGGGAGGGGAATTAAAATATAAGTATGCTGCCACCTGTGCACCTAGACAGCCTCTCAGTTTCCTTCCTAGGCACTTTCCTAGGTGTGCATAGGGCTACATGGGCCTTTGTTACTTTTTTTTTTTTTTTAATTTTTTTTATTATTTTTTTAAATTTATTTATGATAGTCACAGAGAGAGAGAGAGAGAGAGGCAGAGACACAGGCAGAGGGAGAAGCAGGCTCCATGCACCGGTGCCCGATGTGGGATTCGATCCTGGGTCTCCAGGATCGCGCCCTGGGCCAAAGGCAGGCGCCAAACCTCTGCGCCACCCAGGGATCCCCCTTTGTCACTTTTTATTGTAAATGTTAAAGGTCACCTGTTCTAGATATTTTCTCCCTTGGTTTCTTCCTTGTGCAAAGCTCAGAACATAGTGTGAGAGGGACAGGCTCGTCCTGGGGAGTGGGTGAGAGGGAATGAAAGCACCTTCTGGATAAGGCAGAGAAGGATAGCAGTGACACCACGCACGAAAGAGCATAATGTGGAAAGGCTTTGGAAGGATTTTCTTCTCAAGGGATTCTCAAGAAAGGAATTATTTTCCAGGAAATAACCCTCAGGCTCCAGGCCTGGGTCCCCAAGTTTGAATGGGGCATTTATGGAGAGAGCACAGGTAGGGAGCACCTCAGGGAGAGAGGTGGTAACAGCTCCCAGGATGGGGCCTGTGCTGTGCCAGGCCGTCTGTAGAGCATACATTTTATCTCTTCCTAGAGCAGTGGGTGCACTGTCTTCCTGTGCCCATTTTACAGATGGCAGTGCTCCTGGGTGTGCCATGGGTGGTTAACAAACAAGTGTTCTTTCAAAAGGAGAGGCAGACAGATTTGCAGAATTTAGTCAATGAGAGAGCACCATGGGGTTCAGGGACCCCTGAGTACTGGGGAGACAGGAACGGTTGCCTTGAATAGCCTGTCTACCAGAGCAGGACCGCAGGACCTGGGGCTCCCTGTCCCTGGCAGATCATTAGAGAAACATCTGGAATGGGCTTTAAATCCTGATTCCGGGGCATTCCCCAGGAATTCTGACCTGGTCAACTGGGAATCTGCTTTGGAAGGTGGGCCAGTGGTTCAGAAGGTTGGGGGGACCCGGGGCTGCTGTCTCCTCACACCCTGGCCTACAGTTGCCAGCCATGGCTCAGCACTCTTTGCTCAGCCTGAAGGGTGGGGTTGGGAGATGTGATAGTAAGTGAGGTTTCGGTAGAAAGTGCGGAAAAGCGGAGACGGTGCTGTTTGGTTTTCTGAGTCACTGTGTTTCCCCATCAAGAGCCCCTGCATGCCAATGGAGGCCTGGGCCGCCGTGAGTCGCAGGGCTCCGTGTCCTCTGCGGGGAGTCTGGACCTGGTAAGTCACCGCCTCCGCCTCCCCAAAGGCCACAGCAGACTGATGAAACCCCCCTCAGTGTTGAGTCACGCAGAGCCCACACTTACAAAGCCCAATGAAAGTGTGTGTTGGACGTGGGGAGCAGGGCTCCGGCCGGGGCGCCTGCCAGCCCGGCACTCTTGGCCGCATAGGGACACATTTGGCAGATGGGGGAGGGCTGCTCCTTGAGTGCTGAAGATATTTCTGAATTTACTGTGGATGTCTTATTGCTCTCATTCAGTTGCCATGTTTTGAACTCCTGCTAAGAGCAAACAGAAGGCTCTGAAGCCAGGTGCTTTGTGTTTGTGTCACAGTTGGAATAGCCCATTAAGGCAAACCTTCCTGTGTTTGTGTTTCTGCTGGCAGGGGCCTGTCCGAGGCAGGGGCTCCACCTCCCCTCGTGTCCTGCCCACAAGGCCCCAATCTCTAGTTGGGGGTGGGAGGGGGCGGCGCTGGGGGGCCTGCGGGCTGTCAGCTGTCAGTCTGATAGGGTTTGGAAACCCTCCTTGAACAACATCCTAGTCACTTGTCATTGTCCAGTGACAATGTAGCATATTATCCCTTCTTCAGTTATGCTGTGTAACAGTTAAAAGCTGGAGGGGTTTAACTATGTGTCAGTTCGCTGTTGCTGCTGGCCCAACCACCCCAAAACTCTGGCTTAAAACAAAGACCCTTTATTCCTGTATCTTTGTTGTCCATGGGAAGGGAATAGTTGGGGCCATCTTATAATCAGCCTACCACCTACAAACTGTGTTTTCCGGAATGCTGTTGGGGTGGCAGAGAATTCTAGACCGTCAGGAGGAGATGGTGACAGGGAAGCACCATCCAGGGCAAGCTGCACATGAGGACATGTGGGGCCCCGTCTGCAGCCAGTGGCTGCTGTCGTAAATCAGAGACCACGGGAGATGTCCTGGAGAGACCCTGAGGGGTGCTGCACACATGGAGCCCTGGCTGGCCCCTTGGTTGGTGCCCTACCTGCCCAGGAGCCCCCATGTCTGGGCTGGGGTCCTGGTGCTGGGACAAAGCACTAAATAGCAGTTTCCTGTGCTCTGCTGTAGTCCGCGAATAATGTGGACGATCTGATCACAGGTGCTCCAGAGCCACTGCCTACTTGTCTCCCTGTCCACCTTCCCCTATCCTGCAGGTGCATCTCACTGCTGAGTACTTGGCAGCTGAGAGGCCTTGGGACGGGGGCAGGTGAACTTGGGCCGTGTCCTCACCCAGACAGAGTTGTTGCGCATCCTCTGGGCAGAAAGGGCACCTGAGGCCTCAGCCTGTCCCTGGTGCTGTCAGGGTGGCCCCTCTGCCAGCAGCTAAGGAGGATCGCTGCCCTGCCCTCCCTACACTCGCCATCCTGAGCACTGAGTAAAGTTCAGAATGGTCGAAAACAACAAAACCCCACCCCTCACAGCTTTCTCTTGACCCAATAGCTGCTGCCCCGCCAGGGGTCTTTACCCCTCAGGTGATGTTCCTGCCTCCTGACCTTTGTCTGAGCTCCCCGCTCCCTCTCCCAGCCTGTGTCCCTCAGGCTGACTTGCTGTCTCCCAGCCTGTGTCCCTCAGGCCTCTCAGAGAGACCTCTAGTCCTGGAAGTTCTGGTGGGAAGAGCCAGGAAGATGAGGACAAGCAGCGGAAGGGCATCCCAGACTGGGTTGGGCCTCAGGCCCTCTAAGGGCGAGCCAGCCGGCCTGGTGGGCCCCCAGTGCTGCAGGGGAGAGGCAGGAGAGTGGGTTCCACAGAATGACTCCCTCTGCTTCCAGCTCAGGGAGGCTAAGACAAGACCCCTGAAAACAACATGGGAAGGGCCCCTCCTATTCTTACCGAAAAGCTCACGAAATATGACCGTGGGAAATGGTTTGATGAGAGAGTAGAGGAAAAGACCGGAGATACAGAGAGACCTGTCTTCTCTCCTGTGTTTCTGTAGAAGCCCCAGCAACTTTGTTGGCTTTTTGTACACAGCAGCCTTTCTGCATTTACAGAGCTCCGTGTAGGACAGGGAGACACACTGTATGATCTCCCTGAGCACATGCAGGCTAGTGAGAACCCTTCTTGGGGCAGCCCTGCACACCTGCCCATAACACTGGTCTCCCGGCTTCCCAGTCGGATGCCTGTAGGACCTTGATGCCAGAGCGGGACAAGGCCGCCAAGCACTGCTGCATCCAGCTCCCCGATGGGACGTCCTGCATGGTGGTCGTCAAGGCAGGCTTATCCATCAAGGAGGTCCTGGCTGGGCTCTGCGAGCGACATGGCATCAACGGGGCTGCCGTAGACCTCTTCCTGGTGGGCGGGGACAAGGTACGGGGCTGCCCTTCCCATGGGGGATCCTGCACCTGGGCTGGGGTGGTGGGATGGCGGGTCTGTTTGTCCTGTGAACTAAACCTGCCCAGTCACCTGAGTCTGTTGCCTGGAGCAGGCCCTCAGTCTGACTGTGCTCTGCCGCTGGAGGCCGACCCTGAGAGCCCAATAGCCCAAGAGCCCGTGCAAGGGGCTCTCGGCACGCTAATGTTAGCTTGTCTGCAGCGTGGCCTCCTCTGGGTGGCTGTTTCTGAAGCTGCTCCTTTGCTTGGTGGAGCTGTGCATCCCACAGCGGTTGGGGAGCACTTCAGGGATCTCATCTGCCCTCTGATGTCAGTCTCTGTTTTCTTCATGGGTTGCAAAGCCTCTGGTGCTGCATCAAGACAGTAGCATCTTGGAGTCTCGGGACCTGCGGCTAGAAAAGCGGACTTTGTTTCGGTATGAAAACTGCCATGGCTGTGTCGTGAGGTGTCTGGGGATGTCCCCGTGAGCCCTGCAGCCTGGTCGGGGAAAGGAAGGCTGGTGCCTGGGGGGTGGCAGCGGCCACAGGGAGGCCCCAGGAACCCATGGGGCCAGGGGATCACTCGCTGTCCTGTGTCGTGGCTACCATAGGGCCGCACTCTGGGATGCACAGGCGAGATGGCAGAGTGCTGGCCATCTGCCAGGAGCGGCCCGTCTGCTGCATGTGATGGCCCACCAGGAACCTTAGCGAAGCCCCCTGTGGCTTCCTTCTAGTGCTGAAGCTGTTCCACAGCCACAGCCTGGCACTGACCTGCTGACCCCACGGTGCCAAGGGTGGCCTGTGGTACTATATGGTTGTGCCCACAGGGAGGAATAGCTAAGTTTATATTTGCAGCAAATATGTCATGTCTCTCCCCCTCCAACCAGGCTGGATCTAGTTCCAATTAACCGGTCAGTGGGACTGAAGGCCAAGCCGACCAAGCCCGTCACAGAAGTACTGCGGCCCGTGGTAGCCAAGTATGGCCTGCAGCTGAACGAGCTGGTGGCCAGGCTGGTGAGTGTCTTGTGGGGGGAGCGTGGCTATGCTCCCTGCACAGACAAACAAGCTCATAGAGGCCTGCTTGCCTCTGATGCTCTGCAGATGGGAGCATGTGGAACCAGAGGCCATGCTGAAGCCCTGTGGGGAAGAGCTTCACTCGAGGGGAGTCCTGTTGTCCGTCTATATCTTGATCACTCCCAGCAGGCTCTGGGTGATAGTTGAGATGCGGTTTTGGTCCAGGGAAACCAGAATGAGAAACAGCACTAGAAACCCCTTCAATATTCCTGCCATTTGCAAATCTGCTCGGCCAGCCGGCCGAGTGACAAGAGCACTGAGTTACTCAATGTACCATCTCTGTCTCTAGAGTGGAGAGAAGGAGCCCCTGGACCTTGGCGCCCCCATATCAAGTCTGGATGGGCAGAGGGTCATCTTGGAGGAGAAGGAGCCTTCCAGGGCAAAAGGTGAGTGAGGCCCTGAGGCTTCCACTGGTTGCCCTGGCCTGCTGGGGTCCGCTTTGTTCTGCCTCCTGGAAGCCCCCAGCCCTGCTAACCCCCCTGGTTTCATTTAGGGTCTTATGGGGCCTGGAGAACCCCTGCCATGGCATAACTCAACCCCAGCTGGGTGTCTGAGGGGCCCAGCCTGATCCAGGCCTGACTGTGGGCAGGAGGCAGCAGGACCAAGAGCTCAGGGGCCTCACTCCAGGAGCCACATGCCTGCTGACAAGGGGGGCAGTGTCCTCTCAGCTGTAACAAGGGACGATGGGCCTGCTGGACACCCCCCTCCCCCCAGGGTAGGATTGCTCTGAGGTTCCAACACTCCCTGTGTCCAGGGCTTTGGCCAGAGAGTGCTCCCTTCTGAGGGGCCTCAGGATGTCCTACATAAGGGACACAGGCCCTGCAGTAGAGGAGGCAGTGGACTGGGTGCTGGCACATCCCCACTACTTCTTGTGGGGAAAATTGGGAGGTTTACAGAGCCTTTTCCATCCTGCTGCCTCTGCCATGACAGACCTCCCCTGGGGACTCTGAGGTGCCCACTGCCAGGTGCCAACCTTGGGGCCAGCAGTCAGTCCCCCATGCTTCACTCTGATGCCTTGAGAGCCCATGCTCCTCCTCAGAACACCCCACCCCCTTCTAGGTGGAGGGCAGTAGGAAGTGGGTCCCCTGGAGAGGGCTTTCTGGAACCACCTACTGAGTACCCTGGCCAGGAGATACTTTGTAAAGAACGGCTGGGTGCAGCTTTGGGCTGTTTCTTCCCTTTCCTGGTCTTCCACCCAGCAAGGACTGGCTCTGCTCCTCAGCATAGCTGGGCTCACTTCTCTCTGTCCCGGTGGATGCCTTCAGGGTTCCAGTCCCTGCCCCTCTGCCCCCCTGTTGCAGAGGAGAAGTCTTCCTGGGCCCACCCTTGGTTCTAGAATGCTTTTGGGCAGCCCCGGTGGCTCAGTGGTTTAGTGCCACCTTCAGCCCAGTGCGTGATCCTGGAGACCCGGGATCAAGTCCCCCATCAGGCTCCCTGCATGGAGCCTGCTTCTCCCTCTGCCTGTGTCTCTGCCTCTCTCTCTCTCTCTCTCTCTCTCTCTCTCTCTCTCATGAATAAATAAATAAAATCTTTTAAAAAAAATAGAATGCTGTGCTCTCTTTCTGGGACCTGGTAACTGGGGCCGGCAGGGTGAGTGGCCTGAGCAGGGCATGGCTTCCCTCTGGCCTGTTTGTGCACAGGTGAGTCTGAGCATGGCACCTCAGGCAGGTACTTCAGTGTGTTTGTAAAGCTGTGTATAGGCAAGAGTGCTGTTATTCTTCTTCTTGGTTCTGGCCTGGACATGTGGTTTTTGTGTGGCTGGTGTCAGCAGAGGCTAGTCTGCAGCCCTGACTTGGAGCAACAGTCATATTTGAAAACATATATTCTAAGTCTGAGACTCTTCTGCTTTCTAAAGAATATTCTTGCCAGATAGAATCTGAAATGAGCTTTTCTTTTGCCATGCCTCCAGAAGGTCCCCATAACTGCGGTGTAGGACCGGCATGCCTCTTGCACCGCTCCACACAGCGTCTCCTGCCCCAGATGCAGCAGCTGGGGGAGGGCGATCTTTTGTCTTCTTGTCCTGCACCAGGGCTCTGGCCTGTATGTGCATATCTAATACAAGATTTCTAATATTTGGGCTTCTCTACAGTTTTCTCTCAAAAACAATATAAATGTGGTTATGTCTGAATGTTCAATTCACTGTCATTACAAAGCGTATTTCATTATGTTTAGGATCCACAGATAAACAGAAAAGTGCACCAGCCAAACAGAATATAGCTGTAAATTCCAGTTCCAGAAATCACTCGGCTACGGTAATTCCCCTCTGCCCCCTCTGCACAGTTTCCTTGCCGCTGACTGGTGCAGTGCCGGGGTGGGCTGGGACCCCCACACTCTTCTGTCACCCGTAGTGCCCACCGGCTGTCTGCTCAGAGCCGGCCCACACCCTGTCCCCCTTCTGATGCCTGGCTCCCTCTAACCATGAACTGCTGGCTTCCCGTTTGCTGTGTTGGGGGTGGTTGTGCCTTACACGTTCCTATTCTTATAACTTGTGTCACTGTGATTGTTTTTTCCGCAAGGCACAGGACATCTGTGTCAATGTGATCTGTATTTCAAAGGTCCTTTTTGTCTCTAACTGATGGATTGTGTGTTGTCATGTGTCTGACATGTAAGCAGAACTTTGACTTTCCTTCTAATGCAGGGAGAGGAGAGAACGCTAGGCAAGTCTAATTCTATTAAAATAAAAGGAGAAAATGGAAAAAATGCTAGGGATCCCCGGCTTTCAAAGAGAGAAGAATCTATTGCAAAGATTGGGAAAAAAAAATATCAGAAAATTAATTTGGACGAAGCAGAGGGTATGTGTACTTTTTACAACTTCCGCGTTTTCTAGTGAATGCGATGTCAGTTTTCCAGAGCGATCATTAGGACTTTCTTTGAGCCGTTGACATCAGAAGGATGCAATCCCTGTCACACCAAGCATGCCCCTTACCCCTGGGTCAGCCTGAGGCTGTCTGTGCCGCTCCTCTCAGTTGTCAGACTGAGCATTGGGCCCCTTGCAGGCCAGGCCAGGAGTGCCCTCGAGATGGGCAGCAAGCAGACCCCAAGGGTCTGCCCATGCCCCCTCTCCCTGGCTCACATGAAGATCAGTTAGTGTCAGGGGGCCCATGTCAGGGTCCTCACCAGCAGGGCGGGGGCCCTGAGACAGATTTATTCCTGGACCTGCAGGGGAGGACCCCCCGAGAGACCCCCAGAGAGGTGATCTCTTACAGAAACTTCTTTTTTTTCTGAAAGCTTCTAAGAGCAGAATCAAAACTAACAGCTGTTAGCATGACCTGAATTTTTGATGCAAGGAGTGCTCCCCAGGCAGCCGGGCCCACAGCTAGCTCCCTGTGAGGCCTTCCTATTCACCCCCTCCCCTGGCCATTGCTGGCCACCATGGAGGCAGAAGTGAGTCACAAGATTTGAGGTTTTAAAGTCCTTGTCATCCTTCAAACACCAAGAGTGTAATTTAAATGCTAGAGAAAGCTCAGCTTAGACTCCTACTTTGAACAGTGAACTGCAGTTATGGCTGCTGGTCAGCCCAGGTAAGGAGACAGGAGGTCTGGGGGAGCCAGCGAGGGGGCTGGGGGCCCTACCAGCACCACACTTGGCCAGGGGCACTGACCCTGCGAGGCGCTGTGTTCACTCGCTGCCCTCTTGGAGTACCGCAGGCTCCCTTGTGCCTCAGTTAGCCTCCCTGTAACCATCAGAAGGGAGCCAGGACTCCAGCAAAGGGTTTCCAAGTGTAATCAGAAACCCCGTGCCAGAGTTCGGCCCACGAACACGCTTCTCGAACCATCCCCACACCATGTCCAGGCAGGGGTTCTGGTCTATTCGAGTCTGGGCTTCCTAGGACTTCACAGGGCAGGGCCTTCCCTGCAGCCCTGAGGGTAGAGAGGGTGCCAGGTATGAGCACCTGGGGCCCCGCAGCCTGTAGCTTCAGGGCAGTGGGATGAGCTTTCCAGATGGTGAACTTTTTGCTGTGCTGGCCTAGGTGGGAAACTCTCTAAGACTCGATGTGGGGTTTTTTCCACTAGAGTTTTTTGAGCTCATTTCCAAAGCTCAGAGCAACAGAGCAGATGACCAGCGCGGGTTGCTGAGGAAGGAGGACCTGGTGCTACCCGAGTTTCTGCGCTTACCTCCCGGCCCCATGGAGCTTGCCCTTTCCTCACCGAGCGCGGCCAAGAGCTTTGGCAAGAGGAGCTTGACGGGCAACGGCAAGGAGAAGGCTCTCCAGCCCCAAGAGGCATGGGGGCCCGGCCAAGACTTCCGCGAAAGCCCAGCAACAAGCCCCAGCTCGGCTGACAGCACCCCGTTCAGCGCCCCCCTGACCCCCTCGCCCCCAACACAGGAAGCTGAGGCCGGGGGTGTCCAGACCCTGGAGGGCGAACATGTGGCCGACCTGACGCTCACAGGGGAGGGGGACATGAGCAGCCCCAACAGCACTTTACTGCCGCCAACCCCCACCCCGCAGGACTCGGCCGGACCTCCAAGACCAGGTACCTCCGGCTTTGACCCCCCTGCACACCTTTGACTCTCTGCTACTCCACTGTCCACCTGGTGTTATCCACTCAGTTTCCAATAAAAAAAAGAAACAGCTATGGTAAGTCCCCCTCTACCTATAATAATCACTCTGTCAAGGTTCCAACGTGACCTCTGGTGTTCTATTCACTGTGGGCCCCCTCTGCATTTTCTGAAAGGAGCACCTCTGCGTGTGGCCAGGACAGGTCACGGAGGGGCTCAGGCCATGCAATGCTCTGGGAAGGCTGGTGCACGTGGGTGGTGTCCACCCCTGCATAGACAGTGACACTCCCCTGCCAGCCTCTTCCTCCCTCCTGGGTCCACTGAGGCCTCCCAGCCAGGCCTGGGGACTTTCTGAAAATGTATGTGCTATTCTTAAAACTTGGATAGCTAGCATTTTTAGTGTTGTAGTCTCAAGACTGAAAAAAATAGCATTTGTCTTGAGCAACTGGTAAAGTCCTGTGTGTTTGGAAGAGAGCGAGTGTGCTCTCTGGCCCCGGGTCCACTATAGGGAGGGAGGGCTGCACACACCGGCCCCATTCCAGTAGACTGCAGGTGCGTCTGGTTCCATGTGGGCTGGGCCGTGGCTCGGTTCCCAGGGAGCCAGAGGGAGTCCTGGGGTTCCCTGGCCTGGAGTAGGCCTGGGCGTTCCTCCAGACGGATGCTCGGGTTAATAGGAATGGGGCTGAACGGTCCAGCTGCCCAAGAGCTGCAGATGCCACAGGTGGAAGCAGGGCTCCTGGCCTTCCAGGAGTAGTTCTGCCCTGCTCTGAACCAGTGTCACGACGTGTGCCTGTGTCCCCACCCTTGTCCCCCATCCCTGTCCCCTGTCCTGTCCCTGTGCTGTAGACAAGGAGCCTTTTCAGTGGACACTTTGGTAGACCGCTGGTGGCTATCCTTTCTCCTCTGTGTGCTCTGTGATGCGCGGACACTGACCACCAGACGTGTGGTCTGCTGTTGGGGATGACATGAATGCCTACCTTTGCTCAGGCCCCCGCCCAAGGTGCCAATGGCAGTCTGAGTACACCCCAGGATCGGGGGGCCAGGGAAGCCATCGCTGCTATGTGTTCTGTACATATGTACATAGCTGGGCACTTTGGAACACACATGCCATGTGGGCGGGCTCCCCTGGTGCCTTCCCACTGAGACTGCACACGGACTCAAACCGGGAGAAGCCGTGGTCTTCCCGTGTGTCGCGCTTTTGCACGTCTGCGCTGTGGCTGACTTTCCCTTTCTGCTCTTTGTAGACACCTGTATGCAGGTCCACCTGTGTTCTGAGTCTGTGTGCTTCCAAGAGTAATAAACTCTGGATCATGTCATCGGACTGGTTTAAAGCTCTCTTCTTTTTCTTTTGAAAATTTCTTTCCACTTTCAATGGGTCTGCCGTAGTATAGTGGCTTTCAAAGATGTGCCATTCACTCAAGAGATACTCTTGAGCACTTGCCATGTACCCACACACAGCTGTGTAATGGGGAGCAATGTGAGGGGGTGGCTTGAATGACCCTGGGAGGCCACCCTGGGACAGGAACGGGAAGATGCAGCACCCTGCTTGGGCCACATGGAGGCCAAATGGGTAAGGGGCCTCCTCTCCCTGAGAACACCGATGGCCTTGGTGGTCAGGCCTCCCCTGTGTGCCGTCACCTCCAGGGGAGAAGACTCTGGGTGTCAAGTGGTGGTCAGTAAGGCTGCCTGGCTGAGATCAGTAGCTGGTTCCTCCAAACCTGGAGCCCTCGGGGCTGGCAGCCCTGAGTTGGGGCTGTACCGGGCTGTCTGGCCCATGTGGTTCACCCCCTGGGGGGCTGTTTTCCCACAGAATGACCATCAGCCTGGGAAGTGAACCCAGGCTTCTCCCTTGGGGATGTCACACCTGCTGCATGCTGGTGTCTCTGGCCTGTCAGCGTGGAGGGCAGCTGGCACCAGCTGTGCAGGAGCGTAGGTCTTCCCTGCACCCTGGCAGGCTCCTCCTAGCCAGACTGGTCCCATGGTCAGCCCAAGCGCCCCAGCAGGCCCCTGGCTCTCTGCTGTCCTGAGAGGGAGGGGCTCTGGCCATAGGCTCTGACCCCCACCCCCATCCCCCATCTTCCTGGAGCTGACAAGCTTGTTTGATGGGAAGGGCCTCGGTCTTGAGTGTCCTTCTGCGCAACACACCATGACCCAACTTGGCGAGGGCTGGCAGCCTGAGGCCTCTGGCGGGGTCTTTGTGGTTCTCTGTGTGGGAGAATCACTGGCCCCATTATGTGTCGGGCACCTCCACATTGCAATGAAAGGGAACCCACCCCTGAGATTCCTCCATCAAGCGAGGGAAGAACATCTTTCACACCCCTGGGGCTGGAGCACATCTGTACCTAGCACTGAATTTTATTTCTCAGGGTTTAGAAGGCAGGTCTCCCCCAAAGTTACCCTCATTGATTCTAGCAGTTGCTGTGAAATATTTCTTAGCTACATGGTGGCCACCGGGGATCGGTTCAGGGTAGGGAACACGGTGAACTGATATCCCTGGGCTTCGGGCTCTGCAGCTCATGGTCACATCCAGGCCATGCAGCTAGTTGGGCGGCTACCACCGACAGCCCCCAGGTGACAGGGGTGTCTTCCCGAGGATCACACTGCTCACTCACGCTGGTCTGCCACCCCCAGTGTCCATGTACAAAGAGGCTCATCAGCAACCTCAGGGCCAGAGGATAGAGGTTTTCAAAAGGACTTGTGGACCAAGAAGTAACTCCAGTGCAAAGAGCCCCTTCCATACATAGGTACACTCTTAAATTGAATCCTGTGGTTGCTCTGATCCTAATTGCCACCTGTTTTCTCCATCGTTATCTCTTTGGGTTCCAAAGACACGCCGGGAGTTCGTGGGCACCCTCTGGCATTTCCCGTCCTGGGAAGGACCAACTGGGGAGGTACGTGTCCTCAGGTCCCAGCAGAGCAAGAGTCCCAATTACGAGTGTGGGCCGCACATGGCCCATGCCCAGGGTGGTGCTGGTCTCTCTACTGTGTGAGAAGATGCCTATGTCCACGTACTCAGAGAGGGTGTAAGAATTATGCCCTATAGAGCACTGGCTTCCTAGTGAGCAGAACACATCTGTTGAGTTGAATGTTTGATGAACGTGTCCAGAGCAGCAGAAGGGGTCACATTCACCGCTGACTGGTGGCCCCAGCAGCTCCTACCTCAGCCCAGCCCAACATTTGCTTGGTGTCAGACCTGAGGCTGGGCTCCACTTGTGAGTAAAGAGTCAATGGCTAGGAACCCCAGGATATAGGGCTTGACCATGTGGGATTTGGGAGAGGTCTTTGCAAGGGGTCACATGGCGCCCTTCCCCAAAGGCAGGGTTCAAAGAAATCTCTCCTCAACTGCCCTTCTGTCCGAGCGATGGATGGGCCAAAGAGGGCCAGGAGAGCCCCATGCCCCCACCCCTCACCAGGCTCCAGGCAGGCTTGGGAAGAGCCAGGCTTTCTTCCTCACTGGTCTGGCCACACTGGCGTTGTGGGTGTGGGTCAGGGTCCCTGGTTGAGCTGCTCCTAGCCCTTTCAGGAGGCCAGGCTCCTGGGGACCCCACCAACCAGCTGCCCTTAGCAACTGTGGGGCCCCTTGGGGGCCACATGGGCACAGCTGCCAGCAGGGCCATGCACCGCTCCCTAGAAGGAGTCCCCACACAGCTGTTCCAGCCTAGGGTCTGGGGGGGCTCAGATGCAAGGGGATACTGCTCACTGGCTAGGGCAGTTTTCCCCTCTTGGAGACCTCATCCAACTATGCCCAAAGCCACACCCAGTTTCCAGAGTGGCGGCTCTTGGGAGCCCACAGATGGCTTCCTAGCTGACATGTGTGGCCCCTGGCCCCTCACACATAGCCCACCCAGAGGGGGTCGCTATGGCCTAGTGCTGTGGCTTCCATGGGAATGGAACTGGAGCCTTAAGCAGAGGCCACAAGCCCTTGGAGGGGCCACAGCCTTGACCTTGGCAGTGAAGGTAGCCAGACCGCACACCCCCAGTGTGGCTGCAATCCTAGAAGCCCATCTGCACCCAGCTGCTCAGTGGTCAGCCCCCATCCCCACCCTCCCTTTTCCCCACTGCCTCCGGCCACAGCCCTGGCATGTCACACCTGCTCGGCCCCAGATAATGGGGAAGCCAGGACCATAGCCACAGGGAGGCCTCCAGGGCCAGCCATGCAGGTGTCCCCAACCCAGGCCTCACCTCCTACTCCCTTGTCCTTCCCCACATCTTCACTCATCCTTTCAGGTGTCCTCTCTCTCCAGCAGATGCCTGGCCAATCCGTCTAGGCGGCCAAGGTGTCCCCACCCCGAGCATACACCTACTTTCTTGGATGAGACAACCCAGTCCTACCCAGTACAAACCATAGCACACACACAGGTGGCTGGCTTTTTCAGGGACACATAGGTGCCAGGGGCCTCGATGGGAGCCCTCTTGCCCACAGCACATGTTCTGGCACCCTGGCCCGGCTCTGCTGGAGTAGACCTGAGCAGACCTCCCGTTAGATGCCTGGCTGGGAGCCTCCACAGGCTTCCCGGGGCTGGCCCGGCCCCCTCCCCAGACCCCATCCTCCCAGCTGCTGAGGTCTACAGCCTGTGTCTCCTACACAGCCACGCTCCGTGCCCGACCTTTTCTGTGTATGCTGCCCACTGTCCCTGCTCTACCTGACTTCTGAGGCTCACTGGCCCACAGTGTGACCCAGCCCCACCTTTGTTGTCCCCTGCTGTTCTGGACCCCAGCACTGGGGCTCCTGCCTGTGGCTCCTCCCCCACATCCATGCCTGCACCTGGCGTCGCCCTGAGATTGCCCGGTCCCCATTCTCCCTGAAGACATCCCCTGCTCTCACTGCGTACTGCCTTTTGCTGTAGTCCTGGCACTAGTAGGTGCTCAGTACAGATTTACTAATGAAGGGTTTTAATCCAGTAAACAACCCCTCCACCCCCTGCCATGTCCAGACATAGCCCAGTGGGTCTGGGGATCCGAGTGGAGAGCTCCCTTGTACATTTGATGGACTGGAGCCAGGGCTTGGATTGGGGCTGTCCCTGTTCTTTCCCATGGGGACCCAAGAAGCCTCTGTGAAAGCATGCAGAATGGGGTACCCAAGGTCAGGAAGGGCCTTGGAAGGGCCAGGGGCCAAGGGCAGACTCTGGGGTCCCGGTCCCTGTCCCTGGTCCCCACCCCTCTCCCCCAATTTTCTAGTTCAGCGGTACATACACCTCCTTGTGCTGTAGGAGCTTCCCAAGGGCAGCCAGAGGCTTCACAGAGATGTCGGGATGGCCTGAAAGGACACCCAGGATTTGGCCTCACAGATAGTCCAGAGCATGAGGGACAAGTCACAGCGAAGCAGCTGGATAACAGGGAGGGTTCCTCTTGGTCAGGAATGGCCGTGGGACAGGCAGCTGGAGTTGATCCTGAAGGAGAGCTTGGAGATGGCCAAGGGGTCAGGCCATGCCCCGGGACCTGGTCCCCCCCAGTGTAGCCCTGTACTGTGCTGTCCCTGACAGGGGGGTCCTGGCCCTGCCATCCCATTCTCCCTTGATGACCAGAGCAGACCTGGCAGTTGGCTCAGAGAATGCTAGTGGCCAGATGCAGGGGTGGCCCAGGGATGGATGGACCACAGACAGCTGGCAAGGAGCAGGAGGGGCTCCCTGGGTTCCAGATTGCAGTGAAAGCCCCAGCACAGTCATGCTCATGTTCGGAGAGGGCCAGCCAAGGGGCAGGGTCTGTGGTGCCCCAGGAAAAGGAAGGTCCAGCAGAGCAGCCAAACTGGGCAGGATAGCGTGTGAGTGTTTTAGGGACCTGAGACAGGACCTTAACGAGCCTCACCCTAAGTGAACCGTGTAGAGCAGAACCAGGCTCCCTTGGGAAGTGGCCGCCCCTGGGGAAGTGCTGATGAGCGCTTCGGAAGGCTGGGCTGGCGGCCGCTCTGGGGCGGGCCCTGGCCCAGGGGCTGTGACACATGCCTGTTGCATAGGGCTGGGTCCTGCCACTGAGTCACAGGTCTGGGGCTGCCACTGATTCAGGAGAGCGAGTCTGAACAGGGCAGGCAGGAAGGTCCCAGACTGCAGCCACCCTCCCTGTGTTGCTCACATCCTTGGCCCATGGACTGACCCTCTACCCTGTCCTCAGAAGCAGTCATTCCTCCCCATCCTGAGCCCACTGAGCCCCTGGGAGCCAGGGGACCCGTGGCCAAGGCCTGAGTGCCCCTTCAACTCCCTGTCTTCCCAGGGGTCCTTGTGGGGCTGGATGGGAGAAGCCTGGGCTCTGGAACCTGTGTGGGGTCACCGGCCCTTCAGTGCTTCAAACAGGTGCCCCAAACAGGTACAGAGGTTAAGAGGGCAAATCCCTGCCTCTCTGCACATCCTGTGTCCCAGGCGAGGCCTAACCCTACCCCATCCATGTCTGGGCCCTGCAGCCTGGCATTTGGGACTGTGGGGACCCAGTGATGCGTGGGGGACAGGGTGGATCCCAGTATGCCCTGGCAGGACGGCCATCAATACGCCTGAAGGGCCATGCCGTGTGGACCTCGGGAAGGCAGCCTTTCCTGGACCCCCTCCCCAACATGGCTCCACCACCCATGGACCTGCCTGGATGGGTCAGGCCCTGAGCAGCCCTGCTGCAGGCCAGGTACCCTTCCACCTCCTTGACTGGCTGCTGAGAGGTCGGCTGGCCACTGTCGAACAGAGTGCCTGTCTCTGCCTGCAGGCCCAGACTGGCCTGGGGAGGCCGTGTAGAGGCACCTTCAGAGGCATGGGGTGTGGTGGAGTTGGGGCACTTTTGGGGCCATGGAGCAGCCCAGACTCCTTACCTCCATGGTCACCCCCACTTCTTCTAGGTCTTGAAACCAGGGAGGAAGCAGTCTTCCCCTCCACCAGCAAGGCTGGGGAAACTGAGGCCTAGGGACAGGTCGTCATTGGGCAGGACCCAGTGCCCCTAGGGCTGCACTCCTCCTCCAGCCTGTCCACTGTGGGCCATGGGCCTACAAATAGGACAGGGCTCCTACCCACTCTAGGGAGCCAGGGAGTTCAGGGAGAGGGCTGAGTGCACACCATGCCCACCCTGAGCTGGTCCCTGGACACTCCATCTGGAAGACACATTTCTGCCCACCATGGGCCCTGCTGGGAGACACGACGGCAATGGCCCTCCCCAGGGTCTAGAAGCTTCCAAGACAGTTTCAGGCAGCCCAGGGCCTCTGGGCCAGGGGGCTGCAGGGGGGTGGGTATGGAACTTGGAGCCAGATGCCCAGCTGACCACTGAATGGCCTGTGAGAGGGGCAGGCAGTGTGGCTGGGGTGGAGGGAAGGGGCACTTGGCCCAAGGTGTGCGTGATGGGAAGGGAAGGTGTCAGGGGGTGCCTGACTCAGGAGTTTGTGAGGGTGAAGACATAGCCCCGAGGCAACAGTCAGGAGGACAAGCAGGTGGCCAGGGCTGGGAAGGGTAGTCAGAAGACAGGCTGGGGCCTGTGCCCACTGAGGCCTATAGGTGGAGGTCTGGAGTGCCCGGGGAGAGATCTTTCCCTGAGGGCCCAGCACCCACCCCCCAGGACCACCCCCACCAGCCTAGGCACAGGTACCTCCCCTGCAGTCTACTGGCGTGGCCAAGGACCCCATCCCACTTACCACCTCTCTGAGGACCCCTTGGCCTAGCCCCACCAGGAGGAACCAAGGGCCATACTAGCTTGGGATAGGGTGGGTCAGCAGGTAGCTGAGATCTGTTCCTGAGCCTGTGGCTTCCACTGTGTGGGGGTTCTGAGGGGCATGGGTGACCCTACCCAGGGCCCCCACCTTCTGTCACCCTACACCAACCTCTGTGACTCCTGCCCAAAGCCCCCTTGGCTGGGCCTTGCTTGCCCTGTGCAGCCCACCTGCTGAGAGCACTCTGCTGTTCTGGGTGGTGGTGGGGCCCAGGAAGGTCTGGGGGCTTGCCAAACCGGAGGCTTGAGGTCGGGCACTCTCCCCCAGACCCAGGGCACCCAAGGACAGAGATCACTTGTGTCTGAGTGATGAGGGTGGGGTGTGGTCTCCTGCCCTGGGTGCTTGCAGGGCTCCAGAGCCCAGGGCAGGGCAGACAGGTGACAGTCTCTTTCTTCTCCTTGTGACAGGAGGCGGGGCCAGAGGCAGCCAAGGCCTCCCAGTCAACACCATCATCGACGTGGACCGTGTGGCTGGCTTGGCACCCGGGCAAGTCAGCAGCATTCCCAGGGTGCGGACAGGTCCCCAGAGGTCACAGGCCAGTGGGCCCCTGACATCAGAGCTCCCCAGCCTGAGCCCCGTCCCAGCTGGGCCTACCAAGCTCAAGGCCAGCCCGCACCATGCAACCTTCGTCTGAGGCCACCTGAAGCCCCATCCCCACTGGCTGTCCCTCCTGCCGCCGCATCTGAGCTGCCTCACCTGGACACGTGTGGAGGCCTGTGGTCTCGTGGGGACAGCCCCATATCACCTGGAGGGCCTTGGAGGGGCCATATTGGCCACCACGCCTTTGGGAGCCAAACTAGGCGAGGGCAGAGTGGCCTAGCCTTGGACGCTCGCCATGGCTGGCTCAGAGGGCTCCTCAGACCCTGCCCTGCTGCCCCTCGGCCTCTAGCCTTCCCTCAATAAATCAACTTTGGGGACCCCCCCGAGTGTCAGCCTCGTGCTGGGTGCTGGGGTCAGAGACCCTGCCCTCGGGAAGCCATTATTTTGGCCCGTGTATCAAGGAGAGGGGTCGAGGAGATGATGGCTGAGGTCAGCGTGGGCAGAGAAGGAAGCCAACCTAACAGGGCTCACAGCCATGGTGCCCTAGAGGATGAGAGGAAGTGACCCTTCTCGATCAAGGCCCCTGGTCACATCCGCTTTGTGGCATGCCTGACAAGTCAGGGCAGGGTCCCCTTTTGGGGGTGGCCACCCATGAGGGCAGGGTTCAGCTGGGGGTCCCCGGCCGCGCGGCTCCCTGTGCTCTCCTGTCTGGGTTCTGGGGGCAGTGGGGACCCTGTGGTCTGCCTCATGTGGGGGATGGGGTACAGCAGGGCCTGGGCGGGGTTGGGCCCTGAGGCTGCGATTAGTGTGATCACAGAATGGCCGAAGCCTCGGCAAGAGGGGGCGTGTCAGGCCATGCTGTGGGGCAGGGCCACCGTGTGCTATTGATGGAGCAGGTCTGGTCGGCCTCCCATCAGGGCTGATGAGCAGAACCCCAACATCGAGTAGCTGAGCGCTGAGGGACCCCGTGCTGGGAGGGGCCTAACCTGCAAGTACTGGGCCAGGCCACTGAAGTGGTTCCGGATGCTTCTAGGGAGCCACCCCCAGTGAGCAGTGCTTTGGGTGGGGCCTTGGGAGGTGTTGGAAGGGGGGCACCCATCACCTACTGCACCCAGGACCCGTCGTGTCTCCTGGCACCCACCATGCTCCCCTACCTGCTCCCATGGTGTCCCCCATACCACACTTGATGCTCAGGCCCCTCCCCAACCCTGCACCCACGGACCAAGCTAGGTGGCCCCAGTTTCCATTCTCCTTTCTTTTGCACAGATGGCAAAACAAGGGCCTAGAGAGAGAGTGGTGTTGGGGGTGGGGTGCGCAGTGAGGTAGCTGCAGAGCCAGGCTGATCCCTTGACCAAAGTGAGGGCCAGCCTGTGGACAGCTGAGCTAATTCATGGGGAACCCTGGCAGCTCTGCCCACAGCCCCCAGTCATGCATTCCGGGACCCGTGGAGTTGGGGGTGGGCCTACTGTAATTGTGTCCTGACTCCAGGTCACAGATGGAAAGAGCATGCAGACCTGGGCAGGACTCTAAGCCAGGTTTCTGTGGCCCTTGGTGGGCCTGGGTCCCTGGGTGCCTGGCTGGGGCTCTTCTGGGGACCAGAGCTACCCAGAGACAGCGGGTCCCGGCCAGGGCTCAGGGTGTAGTGTGGGCAGCCCTGGACAGAGGTTGTCCAAGCTGTGAGGGGGGATGCCCAGGGCTGAGAGGGTCCGGGGGGGGGGGGGGGAAGCTTCCTGGAGGAGATGCCTAAGGGAGTCCTCCCAGGGGGGAGGGGACATTCCTGGGCAACCTGCTGACTTAGGGCAGGTGGACTGGCAGCTCTGGTGCTGCCCACCTCCCCAGCTGTATGCCCATGAGGGTGCCCACCCCAGGCTTATCCTGGGAGCAGCAGGGAAAGCACACCCTCCCCTGTGCCTGGCCTTTTCTGGCTATGGGGCTAGCACCCACCTTCCAGGCCTAGGAGGCTCAACATTCTTAGCCACTCAGGTTACCAATAGTTCACAGAGAGATAGTGGCCAGCCCTGTGGAGAGGTGGGGGCCGGAAGCTGGGGCCAGGAGTCCAAGCCCCCACTGGCTGTGTGTCCTGGGAGACTTCCTGGAGATGGCTTCTAAGCTGAGACCTGAGGATGTTGTCAGGTCCAAGGCCCGTGTGGCTGATGCCAGAGGGAGACACCTGGACCAGGCGGGGTGAGCTGGGCAGCAGACATGGGGGACATGTGGGCCCGGCACTGGAGGCGGCCAGAGTTAATCATTTCCAGGCGGCCTTGACCTCCCCCTGCCCTGGTGGCTGTTCTGGCCTCCTGCTGCCCCCTCACGCCAGCCCAGGAGGAGCCATGGGGCGCTGGGCCTGGGGTCCCAGCCTTTGCCCCCTGCCGGGAATGGCCCTGCTCCTGCTCCTGCTGCTGCTGCTGGTGCCTCACGGGGCTCAGCCCCAGGCTGGTGGGGTGAGCACTGACCCCATGGCGCTGTGACCATGGGCTCCCTGTGCCCACTCTGGGGTGGGGGCCCGGGGCCAGGGAGGGCTGTGGAGTAGGAGGGGGACCCAACATGGTGAAAGCTGGCTTCCTGGCCTTTGGTGGGTGAGGTGGGGTGCTGTGCTGGCCTGGGGGACAAGAGGTTTGGGGGTCTGACCTGGGCCCCCACTTGGGGGCATGAGGGCCACTCCCCTCCCTTTGGGCCGCTCTTGGGTCCCATTGTTTGGGTCGCAGGGGGACCTCTGAGGGCCTCAGCTGCTCTCGTCCACCCTAAGAACAGATCACCAGGATTTGAGCTAGAAGGCAGGGGTACCCCAGCCTGGGCAGACACGCAGCCCAACCTATCTAACCCTGTGGGCTCGGCAGGAGGCCTTGGGACAGCCAGTGGCTAGAGGCCCCTGGGTTTCCACTCTAAGATCTACGGGCCCTGGTATGGAAACTGAAGCTGGGGACTGTGACCAGCCCAGCCAGCGGGGCCTGAGCATGGGGGCGGGGGGGGGGGGGGCCCGTCCCACCCTGACACCATCACAGCCCTCTTGGCTCCTCCTAGAACCTTACAGAACCCCCAGAACCTAACGCCACAGTGACCCCTGGGACCCCCATGATCCCTGTGACCCCAGCCACGAGTGCTCCAGAGGCACAGGGACCCCGTGGTAGGGGGCTCACCCCCCCACCCAGGGCAGCTCCCTCCAGCAGCAGCCCTGGGGACCCAGGTGGGTCAGGAGAGCTTCCTGGAGGCGGTGGGCTACACCTGGATGGGCGGGTGGGGAGGAATGCAGGCGGCTGCTGGGGAGCCGGGTGTGCGATGTGGGGTCAAGAGGTGCCCAGCGCGGGAGCCCCTTGACCCTTCTCACCCCTCCTGCAGTGCTCACAGTGGATGGGCAGCCCTGCAGGTTCCCCTTCCGCTATGGCGGCCGCATGCTCCACGCCTGCACTTCAGAAGGAAGCGCCCACAGGAAGTGGTGGGTCCCGGGCTGGGGCAAGGCCCGCAAGCACAGACCATCGGCCTCCCCTCCTCCTGGTCCCCACGGTCCCTTGTCCACCCTGGAGACCCTCCTGCCCTCTGCCCTCCCTCCTCCAGCCTGAGCCTGGTATACTACAGGGAATGTGGGGGTGGGCGTGACAAGGGCAGAGCTCCAGAGCCATCAGCAGTCGAGGTGCCCTGTGAGAGTCGGGCCGGGTGGGCAGGTCTCTGGTCTGGGCCCCACACGATTCATCACCCCCAGGTGTGCCACCACTCACAACTATGACCGCGACAGGGCCTGGGGCTACTGTGTGCAGGCTCCGGTGTCCAGGGAGGGCCCAGGTGGGTGCCCAGGGGAGGGGGGGGATGTGCTGGATGGGGGAGGGGTGTGTGCTGGGGGGCATTGAGCCCAGGCTAGGAGCCAGCTGGGCCTGGGGCAGGAGCGAGTCTAAGGGAGCACTTATGGGAGTGGGAGCCAAGGGGACAGGGGTCCCTGCTTGGAGTGCAGGAGGGGACTTTGGGGTTGACCCTACACACTGCAGCCCTGGGGGCCCCCTCCCAGGCAGGACCCTGCCCTCTCCTGGAGCCACAGGGCTGCCTGGGTCATTGCTGGGGCCAAGGCGCCCCCTGGTGGTCAGGCTGGGCCCTGTAGCTGCATGGGAAGAGCCCTGGACAGAGATGAGGGCCCGCAGAGTGAGGTGTGGACAGCTCTACCTACTGAGGGTCCCAGGGAACACAGGAGGGAACCGTGCTCCCCGATGGGGACAGGGCTTCCGGGGTGTCTGGTACCAAGCCAGAGGCCTGCTTGCCCAGGGTCTGAGTGCTGGGCAGGGGGTGCTGGGAGGAGAAGGAAGGCCTGTACCCCTCCCTAGGACACATGCACCCCAAGGAACCAAGAAGGGGCGGCTTGAAGGCAGCAGGTCTGATGGAGGCTCCGCAGGGCCTCGACAAGCAGACAGGGCTTGGGGGAGACATGCCGGTGGGCCGGGCTCTCTCACACCTGCCCCCTCCTGGATATCCCCAGCTGCCCTGGACTCCTGTGCCTCCAGCCCCTGCCTCAACGGGGGCTCATGCTCCCACACCCAGGACCCCGGGTCCTACCACTGCACCTGCCCCATGGCCTTCACAGGCAGGAACTGCGACACAGGTGAGCAGGGCGGCTGGGGCTCCTGGGGCCGGGCTGGGGCCTGGGAACAGGGGCACGGGAGACACTTGCCCCAGTGCAGCAGTACACAGGACACTTGTGACCCCCAGAAAAATGCTTTGATGAGACACGCTATGAGCACCTGGAGGCAGGCGATCGCTGGGCCCGAGTGAGCCAGGGCCAAGTGGAACAGTGTGAGTGTGCTGGGGGCCAGATCCGCTGCGAGGGCACCCGCCACACAGGTAGGCCATGGCCAGGGGAGGGCTTCCTGGGGTCCCCCAGCCGCAGGCAGCAGGTTGAAAGGCCCCGACCCCACTCTCCTACGGCTGACACCCTCAAAGCCTGAGGCCTAGCTTCTGAGCCCTCTCCCCAGCTTGCCTGAGCAGTCCGTGCCTGAACGGGGGCACCTGCCACCTGATCGTGGCCACTGGGACCACCGTGTGCTCCTGCCCGCCGGGCCATGCTGGGCGACTCTGCAACATTGGTGAGTGGGTCAGCCTCTGGGCCCTGTGCCCTGGGGCCGGTGTCAAGGTGGACGCAGTGTTGGACGCAGCCTCACTGCGCACCACGCTGCCCACAGTGCCCAGCCAGCGCTGCTTCGTGGGGAATGGCACCGAGTATCGAGGCGTGGCCAGCACGGCGGCCTCGGGGCTCAGCTGTCTGGCCTGGAACTCTGACCTGCTCTACCAGGAGCTGCACGTGGATTCGGTGGGCGCCGCGGCCCTGCTCGGCCTGGGCCCCCACGCCTACTGCCGGTCAGCACTGGCCGGGCCTACCCCAGGCCACCTCACCCAGGGTGGGCAGGGTCTGTCCTGGGGCCAGAGGTCAAGGCCACTATGTCCATCTGCAGCAAAACGAATGAAACGCTGCTGGGGAGGGGGGCATATCAGGAGTGCCGCCCCGCTGGGTTCTCCCCTTCCCCCCACCCCGGCCCACCCTCCTCTCCCTGCGCTCCAGGAACCCTGACAAGGACGAGAGGCCCTGGTGCTACGTGGTCAAGGACAGTGCGCTCTCCTGGGAGTACTGCCGCCTGGTGGCCTGCGGTGCGCAAAGTGTGCAGCAGGGGGCGGCTCTGTCCCCGCTCCCATGGGGGTCCCTGCACTTCTCCCTGGGCCCTCCCTGCTCCATCCATGCCTGGCCTCCCCTCTTTGGAGGACCACTGCTCCATCTGAAAGATGAGGAAACAGGCTCACTGAGGCAGGGCTAATGCAAGGGCATGCAATGCCTTGGCACCAGGGGTCAGAGCAGGCTAGCCAGTCACCAGGTCTTCTGGGGGGCTCCCACCCAGCCTGAGCACAGCCTGATGGTTCCCAGAGGCAGGAAAGTGCTGGTTAGGGGTGAGTAATGGGGGTGGGAGGTCCAGCAGGTACCCCCGGAGTTGGACCCTGTGAGTGGCCAGCTCCACGAGGCCAGCCAGCCCTTTGGCCCTGGTGCCCCCTGGGCCACCTGACCAGCCAGGACTCTGAGGTCCCAGGCTGCTGAGAGGGACAGGAACATCTGCCAGGTATGCCACACCACCTGGGTTCCCACAAAGCCTTGTGATTGATTGGGTCTCGTTCTCCCCATCGTACAGAAGAGGAACCGGGCACAGAGTAGACCGTGTGCCTGTGAGGGCAGAGCTGGAGCTGAGCCCTGGGTCCTTTGCCAGAGGAGCTGCCTGGGGTGGGGCAGAAGCCGGGTGAACCTCCTGGGGGCTTGAGGATGGCAGCCAGGGCCCCTTCTGGGTGGGGGTGTGCAGAAGGGGCCCTGGAGGTTGACCCAGTGACTTGTGCTCCCAGAATCCCTGGCCAGAATTCCATCTCTGACCACTGCGGTCCTGCTGAGCCAGGCTGAGCCTGCCCCAGTGGGGCGCCAGACCTGTGGCAAGAGGCACAAGAAAAGGACCTTCCTACGGCCACGCATCATCGGTGGTTCATCTTCTCTGCCTGGCTCCCACCCCTGGCTGGCCGCCATCTATATCGGAGACAGCTTCTGTGCAGGGAGTCTTGTCCACACCTGCTGGGTGGTGTCCGCAGCGCACTGCTTCTCCAATAGGTGAGGGGCTCTCCCTACCACCTCCACGGCATGGTTCAACCCATCCACTGGTCTGCCTCCCACCTCCTCCCGCCCACCTGGCCATACACCCACCATCCACTCCACATCTTTGTGTCTGTCCCCTGACACCCTCTGCCTCCCCCCTAACTGCTCACCCATGCCCCACCCACCCCCCATCACCATCCTCCCACCCACCCAATCTGCCTGTCCTCACACTCTACAAGCCGGCTATCACCTTTGTCCCTACATGTCCCCACCTACCCATTTAACCCTCATCCTTGGTCCCTCATTTTCCTGTCGCCCCACTGACCATGGAGGGGCTCAGTGTTCAGCCTGGCTCTGGGCCTGGAAGCAGCAGAGACCAGCCCCACCCCTGCCCCGGGTCACCTTCCAATCCCTGCCCCAGGAGCCCACCAGTCCTGTTCTGGGGCGGGGCAGGGTGGCTCTCAGAGGAGCCATAGGGAAGGGTGATGGGCAGGACCTCATCTGAGAAGATCCCACCCCTCCCAGACCCCAGACTGCCCAGGTTGGGGTGTCCCCTCCTCCCCCTAAGCAGGCCCTGCCCATTCAGCGAGCTGAGCTTTCTGTGGGAAGTCAGGCCTGGTCTGGCAGCTAAGGGAGTGGGTGTCCGGGATGCAAGGCCCACCACCACGCACCCAGAAGGCCAGCCCCTCCTCCACTGTGATGAGCACAGGGTTCCCTGTCTGGGGTCCAGTGGGAGAGGATAGGCCTGACAGTGGCATCCCAGGGATCAGAGGCTGGGGTTTTGGCAGCGTGAGAGTCTGGCCTTGAGCCTCCGTTGGTCACCCAGGGACGACAGCATGGGTGGGGGCAGTGGGTACCAGGCCTGCCCTGTGCGGAGCCAAGACCTGTAGCAGGCTCCCCACGGGGCCTGGGAAATGGGACCTTTGAGGCCTCCCCAGTACAGAGATGGGTGGGGGCTTAAGAGGCTGGGGGAGGGGGCAGGCACCCAGTCCTCACGTCCAGGGCGGGGCTGGGGGGTCAGGCAGGGGAGCTGGAGGTGAACAGGTGGACTCCCAGGTGGCCCCCCAGGAGGGGCATGGGGCTCCCTGCCCTGCCCCACACTCAGGCAGCCTTTCAGTCAGCTGGGTCCTCCCCCTGTCCCTGGAGTGTGCTGGCCGTCCCCCTGAGAGCCACCTGAGCGAGACCCATGAGTTGCCAGCTCTGGGCCTGGCTTTGGGCTGCTCACTACATCCAGAGGCCAGGCACCAAACCCACTGTGTGCTGAGCTGGCTGGTGCCCATGGGGGTAGCAGCCCATTCTCCAGAAGGCCCTCAGGCCTGGGAGGTCCCATTGTGGCCTGGAGCTGGAATCCAGGGAAGGAGGGCCAAGCCAGGGTGGGCTTCTGTTGAGACCCAGGGTGGGGATGGGGGCCGGGGCGGCCCAGGTCTTGTGCCCAGCAGGCATGAGGGGCTGTCTGTGGGGGACCGGGCTACATAGTTGCTGGGTCAGGCCCGCCAGGCAGGGCTAGGGTCTCCACCCACTCAGGCCCCAATCAGCCAGGACCCCACCTGCATGAGGCCCCCAGAGGTGACTAAAGGGGGGCATTAGAGATGGCACTGGCCAGGACTGTGCATGGGGCCATAGCCCACCACTCCCTGTCCCCTGCCCAGGCCTCTCCCCAGGGCTGCAGGGGGCCTGCGCAGCCTTGCAGCCTTGCCCTCCTGGGGCTATCTCCTATCTCCGAGAAGCTAGAGCCACCGGAAGGAAAGTGGGGGGTGAGGGGAGGAGTCTGAGAGTGGGACCTGGGGGTGGGGCTGGGGAGGACTTGAGGTGGGGGGCCTGAGGAGCGGGCCCAGTCCTGCCTCCACCAGCCTCCCTGCACAGCCCCCGCAGGGACAGTGTTGTAGTGGTCCTAGGCCAACACTTCTTCAACCAAACAACGGATGTAACACAGACGTTTGGCATCGAGAAGTATATCCCGTACCCCATGTACTCAGTGTTCAACCCCAGTGACCATGACCTGGGTAAGGCTTAGACATGTTGGGGTGCCACAGGGCCAGGGATGTGTGTGCACTTTGCACACTCCAGGCCGGAGCCAGGAGAGAGGCTGTGTGTCTGTGTGTGGGGTGGGTAGGCACCAGGCAGAGAGGGGAGGGGAGGGATGGGGAAGGAGAGATAGAGGGGTGAGGGAGAGGGGAAGGGAGGACAGGGGCAGGAGGAGGGGAGAAGGGAAGGGGTGGGAGAGGGGAGGAGAGGGGAGGGGAGGAGCAGGAAAGGAGAGATAGAGGGGTGGGGGAGGGGAGGGGAGGAGAGTCTAGTGTAGGGCAGCAAGGGAACCTGGTAAGGCTGAGTGGCGCCCTGTGAGGAAGACCTGGCTGGCCAGTCCTGCTCCGACCTGGGTCTCCCAGGCCACAGCCCCTCTGTCCCTGGCGGCCACTCTCTGTCCAGCAGGGATCCCCATGCCCTGGGCTGACCTCTGCTCTCTCTCTTGCCCAGTCTTGATCCGGCTGAAGAAGAAGGGGGACCGCTGTGCCATCCGCTCCCAGTTTGTCCAGCCCATCTGCCTGCCTGAGCCCAGCAGCCCCTTCCCCGCTGGGCACAAGTGCCAGATTGCGGGCTGGGGCCACCAGGATGAGAGTGAGTCTGGTGGGGGTGCCAGGCCCAGGGCCGTGGTCACGGGGAGCCTTGCCCAGCCTGAGAGCACCTTGTCTGCAGATGTGAGTGGCTATTCCAGCTCCCTGCGGGAGGCGCTGGTCCCCCTGGTCGCAGACCACAAGTGCAGCAGCCCCGAGGTGTACGGAGCAGACATTAGCCCCAACATGCTGTGCGCAGGTTACTTCGACTGCAAGTCCGATGCCTGCCAGGTAAGCCAGGGCTGTCCCAGGTCTCAAGACCACCTGCCCGCCCCCTTCTGGGGGCTCAGGGCTACGAGGGATCATGACCTTCAGGGTCAGCCAGGGAGCCAGGGCAGGGAGTACCCCTGCCAGTCAGCGGTCTACACACCCAGGATGGGCACCCACATATTCCAGAGTCCATCCTGGCCACTGCCACCAAACTCCCCTGGCAGAGGAGAGGACTCCCTCTCACATGATGGGACGACTAGGTCCTGTAACTCTTCCAAGGTCACACAACTCAGAAATGGCAAGGGGGTTTGACACTGGACTACATGATACAACAAACACTTTGTGGGGGGGTAGGGAGTCAGGGATGGCTTTCTGGAGGAGGGGACATTTGCATTTATTTTGAGGGGTGAATAGGAGTTTGCCCGGCAGCTGGGGAGATTAGCCTGGGACATGAGGACCACCTGGTCCACGTAGGGTGTGTGCCAGTGAGTGGCTTGGGGAGCCAGATTGAGGAGCACATTCCTGGTCATGGAGCTGAGAGGAATCCACGGCATAGCTTCAGGAACTGGAGTGAATGGTCAGACCCTGGTGTCTAGGAGGCAGGGGGAAAAGTGGGGTAGCTCCTTTCCTCAGCAATACCTTGGTCATCTGTCCCCCAGGCTGTCAGGAAGTCTGCTTTGGGAGTTCCTGGGGGGTCCTCATGGTGGGGGGGTGCACTGAGACCCTTCTGGGGACATTTTCAGGGCCAGAGTGAGGGAGGCGGAGCAGGAGTGGGTGGTGGAGCTGGGCTATGGGGGAGCTGAGCCAGCGCCTGGCTCTGACCAGCAGCCCTGCCGCAGGGGGACTCAGGCGGGCCCCTGGCCTGTGAGAAGAACGGTGTGGCCTACCTGTACGGCATCATCAGTTGGGGTGACGGCTGTGGGAGGCTTAACAAACCTGGCGTCTATACCCGTGTAGCCAAGTACGTGGACTGGATCAAAGACCGGATATGGCCCTCTAAACGCTCTTCGGATCCCTCCTGAGACAGCACCCATCCTTGGGTGGGGCATCCTGCCTCTGCCTCCCCACCATTCCTAGACTCCTAATAATAAAGATGCTTCCAAGAACCCGGTTGACTCAGCCCCAACCTCTGTACCCGCTCCTCCCACCCCCACCACCTGCCAGGACCCAGTCCACAGGGCCCCAAGCCTCTGTGCCTGCCGCCTGCTACCCACAAGGCCCCTGACCCACATTTGTAGATGGTGTGGCCAGGGGTGCCAGGGCCAGTTCCCCACCTTCCCTTTCTCAGTGGAGAAGGCAGCCTGCACCCCCATAGGGAGGGTCTGGCCCCAAGGCTCAGGGGTCAGGACAGGGCACCTAGTCTGGACTCTCTCCAGAGCCGCAGCTGTGGTGAACCTACTTCCCTAGGCCCCTCACCCCCACCCTGGGCAGCTGGGGCTGGAGCCCAGGCACCCTGGCAGGGTCTGAGTCCAGCAGCGCATGGACCATGAAGACTTAAGCAGGTTGTTTGGAAATAGCTATGGGCCCTCGTCTTGCTTCGGGAAGGCACCCTGACTCAGCATGGCTTCCTAGAAGAAGGCCAGAGAGTCCCTCTCAAAGAAACCAGCAGGTCCAGGTGTCCGGGGAGTCGAGGGCAGTGGCCACTACTGGCGTGTATGTCCCAGAGCCATGCTGCTGCAGCCAGCTGCCCAGCACACCTAGGGGTGGAGTCCTAGATGCCTTTGAGAGCCCAGGAGTGGGCACAGGGAGCAGCAGCTGCAAAGGCCCTGGGGCAGCAGGGTGTGGCTTAATGAATCCAAATAAGGAACTCTGGCTGGATGCCAGAGAAGGCAGGGATGGAGGTGTGTGTGTGTGGGGGGGGGGCGCTGTGTGAGGTACTGGGTATGCCCCAGGGAGCCCTGATGGGGCTTCAGCAGGGTGGACTTGTGCAGCCAGGAAGAGAGGCCTGGGCGTGTGGGAGCGGGCAGAGAGGTGCCGTAGATAGCTCCCTGTGCCCAGCAGTGGGCGCCTTGGGGAGCTGGGAGGCTGGTCTCAGGGAGAGGCCCGAGACGGCCCCACATTCAGTGCATCCAGACCCACACCCACCCATCCCATTCTAGGAAGGGGACCCTCCTCCAACAGCTGCCTGGAGGGTGGGGGTTCTCTGCACAGTCTCCACCCACCTTCCTGCTCCTCCTCTACCCCAAGGCCTCCTTCTCTCCTGTCATCTCTACAGCCCCCTCTCTCTGAGGTGACAGGCCAAGGCTTTCTCTATGTCACTGTCCCCCCCACCTCGGAGCCCCCACCAATCCCTGCAGTCGGACCCTACCTGCCTCCAGCCCCTCTTCTGTCCTGCTCTGCCCCGCCCCCCCAGTCTGTGTTCTGGCCATTCTGGCCTCCTGTCCATGCAACCAACCAGAGCCCTTGCTCATACTGTTCCCACTGCTTCTGGAATGTTCTCTCCCATACCGCCCCTCCCCCTTCACTTGGCGGGGTCCAGGCCACTCCTGGAGGCCGTCCCATGAGGCCAGTCTAGCGGGGTCCCTCCTGGTCATTCTCTCCATTGGCACACATGCACATGTCACAGGGAACATGGGCTTTGCCCATGCCTCAGCTCTCAGCCCGCCTCAGCCCGACTACGTCTGGAAACTGGCCCCCGTAGAGCTGGAGCAAGGGCAGCTCTGTCCCCTGCCAGGGGGAGTCTGGCGCTCCGCCGCTCGGCGACATGGGACTGCCGGCTGCATCTGTTCCCTGTGCAGAGAGGATGACCACCCGGAGCCCCCTCCCTGGGGTTCTTGCACTAAGCTCTGGGTGGAGGCTCCCCTTCTGCTGGGACAGAGCCCCATCCTGGGGAGGACAGGCAGGTGAGGCAGGTGTGCAGGGTGACCTCGGTGGGCAGTCCCCATGCCCTGGAGCTGGCTGAGGACCTCTGGGGCCACCTGGGGTTGGTGCCACTGCCACGGGAGCGCCAGGACAGAGTGGCTCCCAGCAGCCCCACCCTGACCGCTGGGCCTGCTCCCCCGTGGCTGTGGGACTGGTAAAGGGGTGGCTGCCTGGCGCCAAGCCCACCTTCATGCCTGGAGCAAGGCCAGCATCTGCCTTCTGCCTCTGGGTTTATCTCTGCCTTCTCCACCCTGAGCTCTGCCCCAGGAGGCTGATCTCCACGGACAGCATCAAAGGGCCCCTGTGCCCTTGGGTTCTTTAGGACATCAGGGAGCCTCCGCAGCAGGTCAGAGAAGGGAGGAGGTGCGACTGGGACACTGGTTTCCCTGGCTCCCTCCATTTGGGGTCATCTCCCTGGAATAGGTGAAACTGTGTCCACCTAAAATTCAAATATTCAAGTCCTAACTCCCAGGACCTGAGAATGTGATCTTATTTGGAGGGAGGGGCGTTACGGAGGTGATCAAGTGGAGACGAGGTCGCTTGGGTGCCCTGATCCACTAGGACTGTGTCCCTAGAAGGAGGGGAAATGTGGACACAGACAGGCACGGCAGGTGGCAGGGCTGCAGGGGAACATGGCCATCAGCAAGCCAAGGGCAGAGGCCTGGGACAGGTGGTTGTCAGTCTTAGGAGTCCACCCTGCCCACATCTGGGTCTCAGCCCTTGGTCTCCAGGATACGCTCCAGTCTGAGCTGCTGTGTTCTGGCTCCCAGGTCCCTTCCCTGAGGTCACCGCTCCTCCCACAATGGGAAAGTCTCTCTCCTTCGGGGTTCCGTGACCTCTCCCTCGGGCCTAGAGGTGTAACCACTCCTCCTGCCCAGCCTGGGGGCCCCATCTTATCCCCAGGGGCTCCTCTCCAAGACCACCTCTCTGAATTGTCCTGATATTATATCCCTGTTGGGCCCCTGGCTGACCCACGCTCTCTCACTTTGTACAAGCTTTTTAGGATCTGCTTGTGTTTTGTTCAGGGTTTTACATTTATGTTTCTGAGTGAGGTTGGCCTTTCTTGCACTCCGTGAATGAGTTCAAGAGTATCCCTACTATTCCCTAGAGGACTCTGTATTATGCTGGGATGACCTGTCTTTGCAAGTTCAGTAGAACCCTCTATAAAATTCCCTGGGCCTGGTGTTTTCTTTCTAGGATGGCATTTAACAACTGGGTGGGTTCCTGAATAGTCATCGGACTCGACGAGAATTCTGTGTCTTCTGGGGCTGGTCCTGGGAAGTAGCACTTTTATGGATGATCTGAGCTTTCACAGTGGGCTGTGCACAGAGTTGCTGACGGCATTTCCCACCACTTCATGCCAGACATGCCAGCGTCCCCACATTCTGCCAGAGACCACTGCCTCGGGCCTCTGGGGCTGCTGTGGAGAGCCTACTTGCATCGGTGGTTCTTTCCTAAATACCTTTTCTTCCTCCATCTCTGCGACGTGCTGTGGGGTCCCCATGACACTGGTGCCGACGTAGGTTTCTTTCTTCCTCCCACCCTGCCTGCTGTCCCTGAGACTTCTCGCCTGGCTGGGAGGTGGCTGGTGCCCTTCCTGGTGATGACTGGGATCCAGCCTCCTTGTGTCTGGAGCTCCCCATGTCCCATGACACTTGGGGTCCACCCCTGACACTACGTCAGAACACTTTATGTCACAGCTGACCCTGAAGCCCGACAGCGATGCACTGAGCTCACCGTTCCGTGAGTTGGCACCTTGGCCTGCACTTGGCTGGCTGGTTCTTCCGGGCCAGGCTGGCTCCTTCCATCGCTGGAGGCATCAGTGGGCCTTGGGCTGTTCTCCTTCTGGGGGCCCAACTGGCTGTCGGCTGGGGCCACGTGTACTTCCTCATCCAGTGGGCTGGCCTGGGCTTGTTCATAGGGTGGAGGCCGGGCTCCAGAGCAGAGTGGCTGTGAACCCCTGATTGTGCTTCACTTGTCAGAGCCAGCCAGATTCCAGGCAGAGAGGCAGACTCTGTCTCAGTGGGAGGGGGATATGGCCTCATTTCCAGGGCTGTGGGAAGAGGGGACATTATCACAGCCATCTTTTCAAATGGTCACCCCATTCTCTATTGGCTAGGGCTGCCCCACTGGGGGGTGAAATTGATTTTCCCACTATTCTGGAGGCTGAAGTCCAAGATCAAGGTCCAGCAGGGCTGGTTTCTGGTGAGGCCTTCCCTCCAGACTGGAGACAGCTGTCTTCTCGTGTCCTTCCAGGGCCCTTGTCCATGTACACCCGAGAAAGGAGAGATGGCTGTATCTCCCCTTTACTTGTAAGGCCAAAGTGCTGTGGTATCAGGACCCCACCCTCATGACCTCATTTAGCCTTACTTGCCTTCTGTCTCCAAAGATAGCCATATGGAAGTGAGGGCTTCAACCCATGAGTTTGGGGGTCATGATTCAGCCTATGACACCTTCCTATACCGTGTGAAGTATGTGGGAGCTCCTGCCGGGCACCCTGGGATGGGTCTGGGAGTGGTGCTCATCCCTTCTGCCCACAGTCCTCTGGCCAGGCCTCCTTCCTGCAGCCCCACCTACCTGTGGGGTGCTGTGAAATGTGAGTGAGTGAGTGAGTGGGGTAGGTGGACATGGGGTGCAGTGTCTGCCACGGGCAGGTGGTATGTGTTTTTCTACAGCCACGCGGAGACCTGAAGGTCTGGATTAAGCAGCTGGCCCTGGTCCTGAGCATCCCTTTGTATGTGAAGCCAGGGTCATTTTCAGAGACCCTCAGCCACAGCCTCATACCCTGGCATCATAACAAGGCAAGAAGAGGATATTGACACCAGGAAATCATGTGAAGGTTCAAGTTCACTAGGTGGTGAGTGGCAGGTGCTGTGGCTGCAGAGCCACTGATGGGACAACGGTGCCCTCTGGCCACAGACTCTGGTAACAGTGGCAGTGTCCCTGGCCATGATGTCCAGCACCAGTACCCCTGACTGTCTGGTCAGTCAGGGGTGCAGCTGTCATTCATGGCCATGGGCTTCTTGGAAGATGCCAGCCATGTCCCGTGGCTGCGGAGTCCAGCTGTGTGGTGGTGCAGGGCCGGGGTGGCATCCGGTCTCAGGAACGTGGCTGTGCTTCCTCTCTGCCCTGCTTCCCAAAATTCCTGCTGGCTTTCCAGCCTCTCCTGGGTTCTACTAGAGGCCTCACATGCTTCCAGCACATTCCTTCCTCCTGCTTCAGTGGCCAGAGTCCGTTTCTGCCATTTGCAACCAGCAACTCTGGCCATAACAGCTGGAGAAAGTCTTACTGCAACTGGGCTGCTACAGCAAAATACCATAGGTTTGGTGGCTAAAACACAGACATTTGTTCCTTACAAATGGAGGCCAGAAGTCTGAGATCAGGGGCCCTGCGTGGTCAGGTTCTGGTGAGAGCTACTTCCTGTTTGCAGATGACTACCTTCTGGGTGTGCTCATGCAGCAGAGAGCATCTCTCGTGTCTCTTCTTACAAGGACACTGTAAGGGCACAACAGCTTTTCCTCAGCTTCCAAAGAGATTATGTTGAAAATATCCTGAGTCCAAAATGCATGGAATGCACCTAACCTACCAAACATCGTAACTCAGCCTGGCCCGCTGTCCATGTGCTCAGGACACTCACGTTAGCCTATGGTTGGGCAAAACCAACTAGCACGAGGCCTATTTTATAACAAAGTGTTGACCATTGCTTGTGCCTCACTGAAAGTGAAAACTAGAACAACTGTGTGGGTACAGATGGTTGTCAGTGTACCAATCATTCACCCTGGTGACGAGGGGGCTGACCAGGAGCTGCCTGGCCTCATAGAGTGTGCCACAGATGGCTAACCCGGGGAAAGATCCAGAGTCAAAATCCCAAGTACAGTTTTTACTGGATATGTGTCCTTTCCCCATCATCCTGAGGTTGAAAAATCATAAATCGAGCCATCTATAATTGGGTCATGGGAACTCCACCCTCATGACCTACTCATGTCCTGAAGGCCCCACCTCCCAACTCCATCCCACTGGGGCTTGATCTCCACACATGAATCTGGGGGGACACAAGCATTCGGTCCACAGCAGGAGCTGAGGAGCAGAGAGGCCCCAAGTCTGGGGGTAGGAGGTAGGCAGGAAGCTTTCCCCGCCTTTCAGCAGCCTGGTGACCACATGGAGGGGAGGAGAGTCGTCTGTCCGTGCTCCAGCCTGCATTTTCTGGGACCAGTGCGAGAGCAGGTGCAGCTGCCAGGCGTGGCAGGAGCCTGGGTCAGGGCCAGCACTTGGGAATGCAGCAGGGCACTGCCCCTCCCTGCGGGGTTGACTAAGTGCCAGGCGCCCGGGGCGGCGGATGTGTCTCTGGCCACAACCCCCAGCCGCCATCCGGCCCCAGGCCGGCTGTCCCATGCCAGCCCCTGGGGGCCTGAGACGTGTGGGGGCATGAATGGGGCTCTGTGGCCAGGCAACTGCTCTGCAGAAGGCGGCTGGTGGCTGCACAGGTGATGTGGGGGTAGGGGGAGTGGGGGATGTGGGGGAAACAGAGCTGCTTCTGGGCCTGCTGTGATCCTGCTCTGCGTTAGGCCCCAGCAAGACATCGTCCTAGCCCCATATTCAAGCCTGTGGCCCAGCAGGGACCCCCTAATCAGATCCCCAGGGACAGTGGGGAGGGTGTGCCCAAAGGGGGTGAACCTGGCTTTCTGCACCCAGTGTGCACTGTCTGCACTCCAGACCAAGGCTCTGTGTGCCCCCACTGCTCCCCAGTCCACTGCAGGCTCAGCTGACACGGATGGGCCCTGATGAGACCCCCTGCTCGCTCCCTGCCTGCTGCTCTGAGCAGCAGGTCCTCCTTTGTGAGAGGCAAGCCCCAGCCCAAGGGTGGAGACTCCTACCCATGCCCCGTGAGCATCAGCCTTCTTGCCTGCGCGGGTTTTACACCTTCCCTCTTCTCCCTGCCGGAACTGAAGCCCCTCAAGGTCGGGAACATTGAGTAGGACACACTGCTTTTCCTTGTGTTTCTAGGGTGCCGCCCCCCACCTCTGCCACTGTCCCTTTATCCTGTTGGAAGCTCCTGAAGGCATGGGTGTTGGAAGCTGTCTTAGAAATGGGGCAGATAGGGGATCCCTGGGTGGCTCAGCGGTTTGGTGCCTGCCTTCGGCCCAGGGCATGATCCTGGAGTCCTGGGATTGAGTCCCACGTTGGGCTCCCTGCGTGGAGCCTGCTTCTCCCTCTGCCTGTGTCTCTGCCTCTCTCTCTCTCATAAATAAATAAATAAATCTGAAAAAAAAAAAAAAGAAAGAAATGGGGCAGATGGGACAGCCCAGGTAGCTCAGTGGTTTAGCACTGCCTTTGGCCCAGGGCGTGATCCTGGAGTCCCGGGATCGAGTCTCTCACTGGGCTCCCTGCATGGAGCCTGCTCCTCCCTCTGCCTGTGTCTATGTCTCTCTCTGTGTGTCTCTCATGAATAAATAAATAAAATCTTTAAAAAAAAGAAAGAAATGGGGCAGATGTCCAAAGTGTAGACCTGTCAGGTGCCCCAACCCACATGTGCTCTGGAAGAACCCGGGGCAGCTGGGCTGGATCTGCAGGTTGGGGGAGGAAACATCCAGAAGCTCAGAGCCCCCCACCCCCTGCTGTGAAGGGGGCTCTGGGTGGGCCTTTTTTTTTAATTTTCAAGATTTTATTTATCTATTCATGACAGAGAGAGAGGGGGAGAGAGAGAGAGAGGCAGAGACACAGGCAGAGGGAGAAGCAGGCTCCGTGCAGGGAGCCCGACGTGGGACTGGATCCCGGGTCTCCAGGATCACACCCGGGCTGCAGGCGGCGCCAAACCGCTGGGCCTCCGGGCTGCCCCCGGGGTGGGCCTTTCAAAGAGCAGCACAGCACCTCGCCGGGCGGGATGGCTCTTGGCGGGTGTCAGAGAGACCCGACCAGACGCAGAGCCCCTGGCCCCTGCGGTGGGTGCAACGGGGTCCCCCTCCCACCCGCCACCGTGCAGCGTCCCGCACTGGGCGCGGGGGGAGCGGACTCCGTCTGCCCTGCCCCGTGGAGGAGGAGGCCAGGGTCCTCCGAGGTCAGTGGGTCGTCAGGGTTCTGCGGGCAGCCCCGCGGTGCTGGGATCGGCAGGTGCCCGTCCAAGACGCACCAGCGGGCTCCTGGGCTGTGGGACGGCTCAGGTGGCCGCAGGTGCCCCGCCCCGCCCCGCCCGCCCCGCCCGCCCCGCCCCGCCGGCCGCGCAGCGCCCTCCCCGAGCTATTTTGAAAGTGACCCTGGCTGCGCGGCGGCGGGCGGCGGGGAAGGAAGGAAGGCGGGGAAGGAAGGCGGGGAAGGAAGGCGGGGAAGGAAGGCGCGGCGGGCGCCGCGGGAACCATGACAGAAGATGACCGAGGCGGCGCTGGTGGAGGGCCAGGTCAAGCTGCGGGACGGCAAGAAGGTCGGGGCGCGCGGCGGGCGCGGGGCGGGCGGGGGCGCGGCGGCCGCTTACGCTCCCTCTGTCCCCGCAGTGGAAGACTAGGTGGCTGGTGCTGCGCAGGCCGTCGCCCGTGGCAGGTGAGCGAGCGGGCTCCGGGCGGGGGCGGGGGCGGCGGGCGGCGGGCGCGGGCGGCGGGCGGCGGGCCCCGGCCTTCCCAGCCCGGCCCGGAGCGCGGCCAGCTCGCCCGAAATAGCCGGCGGCGCCGGGCGGGCGGTAACCGGAGAGCGGAGAGCGGAGAGCCGAGGAGAGCCGAGAGCCGAGAGCGCCGCCTGCCCCGGGCCTGCTGCTGCCCTCCGTACCCCCCACCCCTTGGAAAAGCAGACAGGCCGCAGGGGCCTGCGGGGCAGCCAGGGGCCGGGAGGGACCAGGAGCTCCCGGGCAGGAGTGCTCCCCCTCCTCCCCCAACAGGCAGCAGGAGCACCCGGGAGGTGCCCCCCTTGTGCTGCTGGGGGTTCGGGTGGTGTCCCTGAATCCGAATCCAGATGGGACACTCCAGGCTGTGCTGACCCAGGGGCCCTCCCACCTTTGGGAGGGGTGAAGTGCAGGGGGACAGAGGCTAGGCCACCAGGTAGGAGCAGTGTGGCTTCTGTGTCTGGGAGGAGGCCTGCCTAGATTGTGGGGAGGGGGGCGAGGTACTGGCACCACGCAGCTCCCCTCACCTGGGTAGGCACCTCCCCGCGTGGGAGGCGGCGGCCAGGAGCCTCCGGGTTGGGCATTTGGTCTCTGTGAGCTGTACTTGCGCATTTGGGAGGCTGGGAGCCGCATGCCTGCAGCTGTTTCAGGGGACAGGTGCCCTGGCGCAGGCCCAGGCACCCCAGGGTCTGTGCGGGGTGCTGGGGGTGTGAGCACACACTGCCTCACACGTGTGGGGCTGCCAGAATGTCTTCCGGGGCGCCCGGGGTATCTGTCATTCCCCAGGAAGGGTTGGGTGGGGGCCGTGCTCCCTCTTCCCTCTCCTGGGTCCCCTCCTGCCCTTTGCTGAGCCTGCTCCAGTTTTAATCCAAGGGCCTACATTTGGTCATGGACACACCTCCTGCCTGGCCTCAGCTTCCCCCTCCCCGGGGCCCAGGCTCCACACACTGCTCATTCAGCTAGTTAGCTCTTCGTGTCCAGACCCAGCACCCGGTGCCCTGGGGGCCCTGGTCCAGGGGAAGGCCTGGTAGAGAAGGTATAGGGGCTGCAGAGACTGAGAGGCCCCCAGAAGGCAGGAAGCCCAGGCTGAGGGCAGGGGGCAGCAGGGCAGAGGCCCCCGGTGATGTCGAAAGGGCTTATGGCCAGCATGGCCAGAGGCAGGGGCTGGCTGCAAGTTGGGGGTGTTGCTGGGCAGGACAGCGTGAGCCAGGGCCTGTGGAGGCCTCCAAGCAGGCTCTTGGGGCCGATGCCCCACCTGAAGGGCTGCCCCAGATGTGGTCTTTGTCCCTCTTGTAGCCCCAGGGGGTGGATTTTATCTCAGCATCAGAGAGCTACCTGAGAGGTGAGCTCCCTGCCGGACCGAGAGCACCTGCCTGCCCATGAAGGCCCTTTTAGCATCGCCGGGGGTTGGCCAGGGTTCCCGGCATCCAGAATCTGGATCTGTAGGACTTGGTGGTCAGCAGGCTTTTCCTGGCTTTCCCGTGTGTGCAGAAGCAGTAGACAGAGCCAGCCCAGTGTGGGGAGCACTGCTGGAGCCTGGGGAGGGAAGCCTCACGCACTGGACTGGGTTTGGGGGGTTATTGGAGGGACGGGGAAGGACGTTCTAGGCAGGATCTTGTGTGAAGAAGCTGCAGAGGCCCTGGAGGGTGCAGGGGGTTAGGGTTAGGAGCAGTGCAAGGTAGGCTCCCGCCCTACCGCCTCTTGTCTCTGGACCCAGAGTCTCTGCTGACTCCTGCCCTCAGTCTTGGGGAGTAAGGACCCTGCATCACCACTTGCAGGCAGCCTGGTGGGGGCTGTGAGCCCACCTGCTTTCAGCAACACCTGGGGACACGCAGGCTCACCGGGGGCGGGCCTTGGGTGAGCCTCCCATGCCATTGGCAGCTTCCCTAAGGTGGGCGTATTCCAAGAGGGCTGGGCACCAGGTGCTGGTGATGGGGAGGGTCTGTGTTCCGTGGGAATGGGCCTGACTGCTTAGTCCCAGGCAGGGCAGGCAGCCTGAGGATGGAGTGCAAGTAGTGGCCGGCCTTCCGTCTTCCTGGGGACCTGGCAGAAGGACCTGGGCTCCTCGCAGCCCTGGATTCAGGACTGGGGGTGGGAACAGCCAGGCTGGGATCTCGGTGCTGCCACACGCTCTATGTGACCTGGACCAGTCCTGGTGGGGCTCGCCATGGAACCTGCCGGGGTGGACAGGTGGCCTACGGGGGAAGGGCTTAGCTCCCCACAGCCTGTGTGCCGCCTCTGATGTCTGTGTCCTGGGGGTGGCATCCCATGAGCCTCCGGGCCCTGCACATGCCCCCCAGCCCCTCACCCCCGAACACTGTGGACTGGGTCAAATCCTGACCGGGCTGGCCCTGCACCCGATCCTGGCCCAGGGTCAGCAAAGGCCCTCCCTGCTTGGGCCTGGTTCACAGCCCCCATCCCCAGCTGCCACCCCCCAGCAGGGTCCCCATGAGCTCTGGCTGCTCGCTCGCTGAAGGCACGGGGTCAAGGTCACTGCGAGAGAGGACCCTCCAGCAGCCGCTGGTCTGCGCGTGGACCTCCCTCTCCATCCTCCTCCATCCTCCTCCATCCTCCCAGGCCTCCCTGCAGCCCTCCCTCCCCCAGGCTCCCGGCGGCCCTGGCTGCGAGCGCCTCTGAGGGCTCATGACCCCACAGTTATTTTTACATCTGCAGACGCTCGTGTCCAGCCGCCTGCGTGTGTGGTATCTGATGGGCCTCTGCCACTCACGTGTCCCCAAGGGCCTGGCCGAGCCCCGCCCCTCAGCCCCCTCCCCGGTGTACCCCCCCACCCCCCCACCCCCCCAGGGAGACGGCTTGTGGGGAAGCCCCTCCCTCGATCTGTCACCATGGTTACTGCGGAGCCTGCCCCCCCCCTCCCCCCCCCCCCCCCCCCCCGCCCAGGCCACAGCCCCTCTGGCTGACCTGCTTCTGCTCTTACCCTGGGCCCAGCGACCCTGACCAGACAGACACCTTGCACCACTCTTCCCCTCCCCCCACTGCATGCAGGCCCTTTGGTTCTTGCCTCTGGGCCTTTGCACTGCCTCCTCCCTCCAGCATAGCACTGATCCCTGTGGGGCTGCCACACTGGGTTCTTGCATCACTTGAGAGGGTCTCGGTGCCCACCTCCCCCACGCTCAGGCCCCCGCAGCCACTGTCATCCCCTGAACACTACTTCCCATAGCAGCCTCCTCTGACCATCTCCTGTCCTGGGTGTCAGCTGTGTGAGGACTGGGCTCTGTCCCCTGGGCCCTGTGGCTGCTCAGGAGCAGAATGACCTGGGTGGAGGATGCAGGGGAGATGCCCAGGCTGTGGGGCAGAGCCGGAGACATGGGTGGGCTCTGAGGGATCCCAGCAAGGGGTCTTTCAGGGAGCGGGACTTAATGCAGGGCTGCCAGTTCCAAAATGGGCACCTACCTCTTGGGCCCCGCCCTCACTCACTGCAGGGCACAGACGCTGGAGGGCAGGGGTGCGCTCGGGCAAGTGACCTCCCTGGTGCGGAGTGATGATGTGAGGCCGTCCCAGGCCTGCACTGAGGTCTGCTGGGCTGCTCTGTGCTTGCCGGCAGGGTGGCATTTGCCGGGGGCCTCTGTGTGCCAGGCCGGGGCTGTGTTAGCACTTGGCCAGGGCAGGCTGGGTGGTGTCCGTTCCTCAGACAGAAGGCAGGCTGAGGGTGGGCTACAGTGGTGGACGCAGGCTCTGAGTGGGGTTTGAAAAACCCAGAGACCACAGAAACCCATGTGCTCATCTGAGGCTTCCGGTGCATTCTCCCACCGTGGCACCCGTGCCCATGGAGGGGCTCAGTGGCCACAGCAGTGATGTGCAGTGTGTGCAGGTGTGTGGGTAAGCATATGTGTGTGAGCATGCGCTGGGGTGAGTGTGCAGATGGGTGTGTGTCCATGTGTGTGTCTGTGTGTGCACCTGCCGGTCCTTGCTGCCTTGGTCTATCTCACTGCCAAGGAGAGGCCCCCTCCTCCACTCCAGCCTCCAGCTGCCCTGGCCCAGACCCTCTCTGGGCCCTGTGGACATCCCTGAGCTGTGATGCCGTCTGGCTGCACCCTTCGGCCCTGCTACTGTGAGTGGCGCGCACAGAACCACACGGAGAGGAGCCTGATAGGCCATCTGAGTGGGGTGGCCCGGTGTGCTTCCTGAGTTACCAACCCAGAAACCTCGCCAAGTGACCAGTGTTGCTGGGCTTCCTGGGAGTGGCGAGGCCGTAGGGTACCTGGTGGAGCTGTCCAGCTGGGACAGGCTCCGGTGTCTCTGGCCCCATGTGTCTGCAGGGGTGCTGGGGCCCAAGAGGGGCTGGTGATGTCTTCAGGGGTGCTGTGGCCCAGGAGTGGTGCCGGGGTGCTGGGGCCCAGGAGGGGTGTCTGCAGGGGTGCTGGGCCCAGAGGGGCTGGTGGTGTCACTGCTTGCTGGGAGCCCTGGTGCTGTCTCTCCTGGGCTGACTCTGCTGTGTCAGGCTCCTGACCCGAGAGTTCCCATCCCTCTGATGCCTGTCGGTATAGCAGCTTTGTGGCAAATAGCTCTCCCATGGAATGGGTTTTAAAAATAGGATCAATTTATTGTCCCAGGTGCTGTAGAGGGAAGAGGGGTGGGAGCAGCTGCGGTCACAGGGACCCGGGGCCCCACACTTGCTGCCCCCTCCCCACAACCCCTTTCCCACCCATGCTGCTGGGGCTTGGGGGCAGCTGCTCCAGCTGAAAACAGGCTGTGACTTGGGTCAGCTTCCACGGTGTGGAGGGTGGGAGCATGTCGTAGCCGTGGCCCTCACCCCATTTTGTTCACATCTAGAAACACAAGCAGTGGCTTGGATGATGTGCTAGTGTTCTGGGGCTGCAGAGATCTGCTCTCCCACCATCCAAGATCAGGGTGTGGACAGGGCTTCTTCCAGCTCCTGGTGGCTCCAGGCTCTCCTGGACCTGTGGCCGCATCGCTCTGTGGCTGTCCTCGCGGGGTCTCCTTCTCTGTGCGGTGCCTTCTCATCTGTCTTGTAGGATGCTCGCCGTTAGGCTAGGGCTCGCCTGGATGATCCACGGTGACCTTGCCCTGAGATCCTTAACTTGATTACATCTGCAGAAACCTCTTCTCCAAGTAAGGTCCTGCTTGCAGGTGCTGGGGGCAGCGCATGGGCATGTCATCTTGGGGCCTGTTTGGCTCACGACGGCGCTCGGGGCTGCTCCTCTCTTGCAGAGTGGGATGTGGGCTGCATCTCGCACGTAGTCAGAGTCCAAAATGATTGAACAGGTGCGGGAGGGGGGCCTCAAGGACAGAGGTTGGCTCTCATGTGCAGGCCCCCAAACCGGCCTCATGAGTGTGCACATCTGAGACGGGAACACTCGCCTGGCCGCAGGAGGCACCACGAAGGCGTGAGGGCACGGTGGCAGTTCTGGCACACTCGGCTCTCTTAGACCAGGAGTCAGCAAACCACAGCCCTGAGCCAGATCTGGCCCTCTGCTTGTTGCTGTAATAAAGTTTTATTGGAGCATAGCCGTTTGCTTCTGTGTTAGTCTGGCTGCTGTCATAGTCAGGTGCTGTGACCAAAAACAGTTACTGTCTGGCTCCTTATGGAGAAGTGTTTTGGCCCTGCTAGTGGCTCTATTCCTGGGAGCGTGACTACTAGAACAGAGGAGGTGACAGTCTTGCTCTGCCTTGCAGGGCACAGTTCTGGCCCCGCTGACCCCCGGTGCAGGACAATGGGGCTGTCACTGTGTAGGAGCAGATGGGGACCTGCCTGCAAGGGCCCACCCTCAGGGTCCGTGGGGGTGGACACAGCAAACAGACAAGGCACGGACTACACACAGAAAACCCGCTGTGGAGGGTCCCAGAGCCAGGTGGCCGCTATGCTCACTGTGCCTGGAAGTGTGGGGGCGGCCTTCCCAAGTGCGGGGCGGTTGGCTGTCCTGCAGTCCTCAGAGGCCCTTCTGTCCTGTGTGGGGGCCCCTTCCTGAGGCTCTTTCTGTGCCACAGGCCTCTGGTGACTCGTGGGGACATTTCCATAATGACACGTGCCCTTTGCTGCCTCTGTGACTTATTTCTTGTTGGCCTGGTCTGGGTTTCCAAAGGGAGTTGTTTAAACCCACAGCCTCTTTCTGGGCTGCTTTTGAGAAAGAACACTCCGGAAGCCTAAGATGAGCACGAGGGTTTCTGTGGGCTCTGAGTTTCCCCCCTCAAATGGGAACAGCTTTGCTTTTTTCTGATATAAGCACTTCAGATGCTAAGGAGGTGGGAGGAAGGAAGTGAAGCCCCCATTGTGGTCCCCAATTTTGTAAATACAGCTGTGCTCTGCCTGTGGCTGCTTCATGCCAGGAGGGCAGAGGGGAGTTGAGGGGCAGGTCAGTGCACCCTGAATGTCCCACTCCCTCTGGGGAGCTGTCACCGTGGGACCTGCCGGGGCAGAGAGCCCAGCTACAACACCCTGACATGGCCTCGATTCGGTGGCAAAAGTTAGTGTGCGCTGAGTTCTTGTGGGATTTAGTTGTCACTTGGGTTTGCAGGGCCTGCTCGCAGAGGGTCAGAGTGGGAGTATCGCCGCACCCCTTCCACGGGGCCTCCTGGGCTTCCTCCCCCGACCTCTCTGGCTCACACCAGGGACTTGACATCTCCAGCTTTCTGGTGGGATTCCGAGTGGTCTCACACAGAAGCGTACTTAGGTGTTCACGTTGGGGCCCCCAGCCCCACACCCTTGTTGAAGGCTGGATGCCCAGGGCGCACATGCTGCTGAGGGCCTGAGTGGGCATGGGGACGGCAAGGCAGGCTCGTAGGAGGGAGGGACAGGTGCCATCCAACAGGCTGCACTGTGCCTGGGGCGGTGCAGGTGGAGGGCGCTGGGGCCACGTCCAGGGCTGAGTGTGGCTGCGGGCTCTGGCTCGTTGTCCCGTGGGGATAACGGGGACAGTGACTGCATCCAGGACAGAGGCATCACCTGCAGTGAGGCAAGAGGGGCCTGCATCTTGGAGTGGCTCAGCTTGGTGGTGACAGTGGGACCCAAGGCTCAGTGGCTCGCCCCCAGGGCTAGAGTCCTGGTCACATTCTGGGGAAGGAGAGATCCAAGAGGCGAGGGGGGTCTGGATGTGGCAGGAAGGGGTCCTAGCATGTGGCTGGCTTTGTGCCCATCCCCACAGGCCACCCACCACCACTTCTGTGGGCCCCACAGCCCCTCAAGAGTGGCCCACGTGGGCCGGAGAGCCTGGGGCAGGGTGAATGCATGGGTGGGGGACGGGACCCCGCGTGGAGCAGAGTCCAGCTGCGAAGTGTTGCAGGCCTACTTCTGCCCACATGGCCCATGCCCTGAGCGGGCGGGGGGGAGGGGGATGCCCTTTGCACGGGATGAGCCATGGCCTCAGAGTGGCCGGGTGGCCTGCTCGGGGTCACAGCTAAAACCGGGCTGTGGGCTGCTGTGGCCTCTGCAGAGGATGCTGTGGGCTTGAGGGCGGCGTCTATGCTGGCCTGGTGTCCCTGACGGCCTCTACTGTGTCTCACCCGGTGTCGCCCGCAGACTGCCTGCTGATGCTGGCCTACAAGGACAAGTCGGAGCGAGCCAAGGGCCTCAGGGAGCGCAGCAGCCTGACGCTGGAGGACATCTGTGGCCTGGAGCCCGGCCTGCCCTACGAAGGCCTCGCCCACACGCTGGCCATCATCTGCCTGTCCCAGGCTGTCATGCTGGGCTTCGATAGCCGTGAGGCCATGTGCGCCTGGGATGCCCGGATCCGCTATGCGCTCGGCGAGGGTGAGTGAGGCCAGGGCATGGGACTCCAGCTCTACAGGCTGCGACCTCAAGCGTCCCGCAGGACCCTCACCCCCCAGGCTGTGGGAACCGTGACATGACTCCAGGGCACGATGCAATAGGGATGCCTCTCCTGCTGTGCTCTGCGATCAGGGTGTGGTCCTCGAGGGCAGGGTACTGCCTGGAGACATTTGGGCCCTGGAGGGGCACGGGGAGCAGTCAGGGCCCCAGGGCTTTCCAAGCTCCCTGACTCCAACGTTTTAGTTGGAACCAGAGCCATTACCCCGAGCGGGTTTGTCTGAGCAGAGTGACTGTCCTAAATGCTGTCCTTTGCTCAGTACCCTGTCCACCCGAGTCCCAAGCTGGGGCTCCAGTGGGGAGCAATGCCAAGAGTCTTCATCCCACCAGGGGTGGGATGGGTTCTGTGCCTGAGCCAGGAAGGCCAGGGGGGCTGGTGCTACCAGGGGAGGTTTGTTCTGGAGGACAGAACACTTAGCCCTGCAGGGTGGCCGGGTTCAGGCATTGGGGTGGAGTGACCCTGGGTGAGCTGGGGAGGAGGAGGGCCTAGACCTGAGTGAGGGGGTGTGGCCCTTGCATCAGACGCCAAAAAACACACCCATCAAGATCAATGACATTTCAACCCACTTTAAAAACCTCAGGTCAATGCCCAAAGCCTGTGATGAGCAAAATACTGAAATTTAGGGTAAAAACGGGCTCCGAGCCTGCCCTGCCCTCCCCTTCCTTTCCAGACCCAACCCCAGCAACCCTGACCAGCTTTGTTTTTATTTAAACATTTGATACCTCGCTCATCATGGACTTTTGCATTAATTTTTATTTGTTGAAAATAATCATTACAATATCATTGACCTCGACCTCTGAGTGTTTGCTGCCTGAAGTGGGGGCTTCCCGGGGGCGCACTGAAGCCAGGCCCGGCTGGCTAAGACAGGGAGGGTGGCCACGGCGGCCCCTTTGGGCACTTGCCTGCCTCTGAAGCAGAGCAGTGTCCAGTTCGTGGGAGAGCTGGATGCAGCCTCCAGGGGCTGGCAGGTGCCGGCCGGGGGGGCGGACCCCTGGGAGCTGCCTCCTACCCCTGGGGCCTCTGCTCCTGGTGATGCCCTCTCACCCCACCCCTGCCCTCAGTGCACAGGTTCCACGTGACGGTGGCGCCTGGCACCAAACTGGAAAGCGGCCCTGCCACGCTTCACCTCTGCAACGATGTCCTTGTCGTGGCCAGGGACATCCCTCCAGCTGTCATGGGGCAGTGGAAGCTGTCCGACCTCCGGCGCTATGGGGCTGTGCCCAATGGATTCATCTTTGAAGGCGGGACCAGATGTGGGTACTGTAAGTATGTGGGGCCATGGGTGCCCCGGACCTCAGGCTGCTCCCGGGCTCGGCTTCCCCCCCAGACCCACACCTTGGAGCTTCTCGGGCATCTGGGGAGCGTGGTGGGGAAGGGTTGTGTCTTCCAAGACCCCACGCTCAGCTGAGCCCAGACCTCCGGCTGCCTCTGTCTGGCCCTGGCCTCCAAGGGTGGGAGGAGGAGCACGCAGCCCACACGTGGGGTGCCCGGACCCCCGGAGCGAGGCCTGCCTGACCCCATGCAGGGTCCTGTGTCTGGTCACAGAGCCTCAGAGCCACTAATGGTAGGATTTAATGAGAAAGGAAAAAAGGGGAAAGGATGTGCATAGACCAAGGATCCCTCATGAGTGCACCAGCTTGCGGGGTCCTTGAGCTCCCACACCAGCCTCAGGACAGGTGGGGAGCTGCCCCGAGGCTGCAGATGAAGGCTGAGTGCTGGGCCCCCCAGGCTCTGGGAGGGGGGTCTGAGGGCCGTGGGGAAGCCCAGGTGAGGCGTGCAGGGGAGGAAGGGTGCTGGCGAGCTGAGCCCTAGGGGGAGCAGGGCAGCAGAGGCACGGCCCGTCCCTGGAACACAGAGCTCAGGCCACTGCAGGAACAGGAGTGTGCCAGCGCCCCTGCCCACTGCTCTCCAGGCATGGGGGTGTGCACACGTCTGGGTCTGTGGCGGCTTGAGGGCACGAACCCTCTGTTCTTTCCCCAGAAGGGCCCGTGCCCATCTCTGCTGCTGCCCAGGGCTGGCAGTGAGGCCCAGTGGCCTCCCGATGACCTGTCCCATGGCCAGGGTGACCTGAGTGGGAGCCGTGAACCCCCATCTCAGTTCAGCCTGGGACCCTCACCAGATGGGGGTCATGGCCCCCTCCACGTAGGGTCGTTGATCCCCTGACCGACAGTCTCCCGGGAAGAGGACGGTGGCAGGGGCTTATCGCAGAGTCTGGCACGTGCTCGGGGCAGCCAGGTTTGGGAGGGCGCCCACGGGGCTCTGGGACCTTGGCCCTGCCTGGGTCTCCCTGCACTTGAGCATGTGCTCGTGCTGGCTGGCTGGGCCCCTTGTTCTGCCAAGGATGGGCAGGGTGCCAGCCGTTCAGCCTTGGGGGGCAGCCCAGGGCCCTGCCTCCGAGGACATAAGTCATTAGCTATGAAGATGCAAAGAGTGAGCAGTGAGGTTTGAATTCCTGCTCGAGGCAGCAAGACCTCTGGAGCTGGCTGAATTTTGATGGGCTGGGTCCTCGGCTTGGGGGAGGGTGTTTGAAGAGGCAAAGGCAGGCGGATGGGGTGGGGTGCAGCAGGCTTGTGGGGTGGGAGCCCCGGAGCCTTGGGGGGCACAGCCAGGCCCCGGGGTGTTCGAGTGGGAGCCTAAGCACAGCTGCTGGGGTGCTTGCTCTGGGCTTGGTGGAGGGATGGGTGAGGCACCAACTGGAGTTCCCCCTCGGCCCACCCTGCGGGATGTGGCCTTGGGGCACCTTGTTCTGGAATATTCAAGGTGGCAGCAGTCTGCGGTCCAGAACAGTGGAGGGGGCAGGGCACCCAGCCATGTGCACGGTCGGAGCTGGGCCACGGTGCACTGGGTCTGGGGCAGCCTCCCCCCGCCAGATCCCCCCATGTGGGGGCTCGGGCAGGGGGAGCACTGTTTGCGGCCACCTGAAGTTGGGGTGCAGACCTCCTGGGGGTGGCACCGGCTGTGCCCTGAGGGAGGCCAGTCAGGAGGACCCGTTTCCTCGGAGACACCTTATATTTGCCGGTTGTAATGTAAGAGGACCTCGGAGTTCATGATCCCGAGCCGGCGTGGGTGGGCTCCTTCCTTCCTGCAGACGCTGTGGCCATCGGGCCGTGGCTCCGGGAGGCCCGGCAGCCCCAGGGAGCCCTTGTGGGGCCGGCCGGGCGCTGCTCCCGTGCTAGCTGGGCCGGTCGGGCCCGGGGGTGCGGGCGCCCTGGGATTCAGTCTCCCAGCTGCTCCCCATGCACCCCAGAGGCCGCCGTGGAAGATCCCCTGGGTGGCCCCACGGCGGGTCCCGCTGGGCTCTGTTCTCCCGTGAGAAGTTTGCCAGGGCTCTGCCGGCAGAAGCTGGATTTTAGGCTCTCACGGGGGAGGAGTGTGGGGTGCTCTGCCACGTGATACAGGGCTGGGGTGGAGGGACCGTGCACCCCTGCACATGTGGTCGGACCACCGGGGAGTCAGGCCCTGGGCATCCCCGCAGGCACGTGAGTCAGGGTCTTGGGGCTGCTGTAGCAAATTCCCCCAAATTGAGGCCTCAGAACAATAAAAACAATTCCTTCCCAGTGCATCTCCAGTCAAGGTGTGGGCCGGGCTGTGCTCCTCCAAGGAGGCCCCTTCCCGCCTTTTCTGGCCCTTGGTGGCTCCAGATGGCCCTGGCCTTGTGGCTGCCCACTCCAGCCTGCCCTCTGCTGTCACAGACCATCTCCCTGTGACTTCTCTTCCGACTCTGTGGGATTTAGGGCCCGCAGATAATCCAGGATCACCTCATCTCATCTCACTTGGTTAAAGACCATTGTTTCAAATAAGGTCACAGTTACAGGTTTGGGATGTGACCTATCCTTTGGGGACCACCATTTAGCCCATGACGTGGGTCACCTTGACTGTGAAGGTTTTAGAATTTGGATCATGATGGGCCTGTGGCCCTGGGCACATTTCATCTGGAGGACAGAGAGCTGGGCTGGGATCATCAGAAGGCCCTGGCAGGTCTGGGGCATAAAAATCAGCATCCCCTCCCTCCCCTGGCACAGTCCCAGCCTAACCCCCTGTGCCCCCCAGAACCACACACCCTTGGTTCTTGGCCACAGACAGCTCTCCTGAGAGCAGGAGATGGTCCCTGGCTGCCTTTGCCCACCCTGAGTGTAAAGAGGGTGCCTAGAAGGTGTGGAGATGGGGTTAGGACCCGGGAGGGCAAGGCAGAGGGGTCATGGCCCTGGTAGGTGTGGGAGTGGCATCAGGGTGGGTATGACCAGGGTCGTGTGTGGCTGAAGTCCTCTCAGGGCCTGGCCAGGTATGTGGGGGCCTGGGGTGGATCTGGGTCCCTCCCAGATAGGCATTTCTCTCTGTGGCCTCCATGTGGACAATGGCCTGCTCAGAGTCAGATGGGAGTAGGCTTGCTGGGTGGGAGTCCGGGGTCTCCCAGCGTGGCCTGATCCTCTGTCTCTGGGTCGGTGGTGGCCTACTGTGTGTGGTTAGGGATTTGGGGCACCAACAGAGAATGGGAGAAGCAGTCCCCGCCCAGAGCCCCAGGAGGGCAGGCTTTGGGGAGGGGCATGCAAGCTGGGCCTAAGGGTGAATGGAAGTTTCTAAGAGGGGGCCCAGGGAAGATCTCCGTCCCTTGCATTGGCTGGTCCTCCTGTCAAGGGCATTTCAAGGGCATTTCCCTGTTTACATGAGCTAGCTGCATTTGTAAGAGGTCAGGGTCCTGGCATGCTGAGGAATTCAGCAGGTGGTGGAAAGGTCCCCAAGCCTGTGGCAGAGGAGTGTCATGGACAGTGGCTGTCAAAAATGTACCCCCTTCGTTGTATGTGCTGGCCATCTGTGCTGGCCCCTCCTCCACTAGTGCCCGGTTCCTCTGGGTGCAGTCCATCGCTTCAGCCTCTTGGGACATGGTGGACATTTTTTTTTTAAAGATTTTATTTATTTATTCATGAGAGACAGAGAGAGAGAGAGAGAGAGAGAGAGAGAGGCAGAGACACAGGCAGAGGGAGAAGCAGGCTCCATGCAGGGAGCCCGACGTGGGACTCGATCCCAGGTCACCAGGATCACACCCTGGGCGTAAGGCGGCGCTAAACCGCTGAGCCATCCAGGCTGTCCATGGTGGGCCTTTTTAAATGACTTTTTTTGAGTGAAAGAGAGAGTGAATGTGTGTACATGAATAGGGGGAGGTCAGAGGGAGAGGGAAAAGCAGACTCCTCACTGAGCAGGGAGCCCGATGTGGGCCTCCATCCCAGGATCCAGGAAGCCGTGGAAGTGAGCTGAAGGCTGATGCTTCACCCACTGAGCCCCCCAGGTACCCCTCTTGCTGCGCCTTTAAAACACTTGCATCATCCACCTCTGACAAGTCCTTTGGTGCCTCTTTTGGACTTTGTGGTCTGAATGCTGGGTGGTCTTGACAGAGCTGCCCGAAGCCCTGGTCTCTGACCCCAGCACAGATGCGTGACCTGCGTGGCGTGTGCAGGAACCCCGTTAGGAGGTGGTGGCAGAGGCGAGGTTGCAGGAGGAGGAAGCCCAGTATGCGGACCAGAGTATGCTCTGTCTTCCCAGAGTAGCAGGGAGCCTGAACAGCACAGTGCCACCAGCAGATCTGTGTTCAGGGTGATGACTTCGGCCCTAGATGCCCATGGGGATTGAGGTGGGGGGCATGAAGGCAGCCGTGAGAAAGCTCTGGATGTGGCCTGAGGCTGAGTCAGCAGCATGTGTGAGAGGGGCGTCACTGGGAATTGCAGGAATGTTAACTAGGTGGTGGTTGAAATGGGGAGAGAGGGAGGGCCAGCCTAGGGTGGGTGGGAGAAGGAAGAGTGCTTGCTGGGGTGAGGGTCCCAGGAGGATGGAGCCCCTGCCCTGGGCTGGGCCTGCTCCAGTGCTTTGCCCACGGGGAGGCATCATGGGTGGGGTGGGGAACAGCAAAGGCCCGGGCTCCCCTCCACTTGGCAGCATGTTCAGGGACATTTATGAACTGGGGTCATTTGATGGGGGTGGTTTCAGTTTCCTACAAGGAGATCAAGTCTGCCCTCTGGGTCTAGACCGCTAGTCACATTTCAGGTGGTTTGGGGTCCATTCCAACCCTCTGCTGGGAATCTTCCACTCTGGAGGTGGGAGTGAGCCTGGAATCCGTCAATCCCTTGTCACTCACTGGGGGCTGGCCTCCCAGGCTGGTCCTGGGTGCCCTGAGTGTCCAGGATGACGACCTGGACACGGAGGTCACACGGTGGGAGAGCGTAGGCTGGGCGGGGAGAGCGTGGAGAGCAGTAACCGCAGGGGTCCCACGCTTGAAGTTCTCTGTGCTCCCCTGTCTTCACACCAACCATGAGGTACGGGCACCAGCCCCATTTTGCAGATGGGGAAGGCGAGGCGCAGAGCCACTGGTGACTTCTCTGGGATCTGGCACTCCGTGTTCCACTGCACCGCCAGCCAGCCCAGGGCCAGCCCAGCACCAGGTGAAGTGGGGACGGGACCGGCTGTCAGCAGTGCCCGGGCTTCCTCCTCAGGGGGCTTTGCTCTGCTCTGTTTCCTCCCAGGCAGGAAGGCCCAAGGGGAAGGCTCCGTGTCCCCCTGCCCCTGGGGAATGGGCAGTGTGGCCTCAAGGGACGGTCCAGACATGACGGCATGCCAGCCACCGTGTTTGTGTGTGCACACGTGTGTGTGTGTGTGTGTGTACAGGGGGTGGTGTCACAGAGATTGGGGCATGTTCCGGGCACGGAGGGGTGGCGGCTGCAAGGCTGCAGTGCCGGCTGCCTCGTGTGGTGGTGCCTGCGAGAGGGTGCTTTGTTTGTGTCTACGGTGGCAAAATATATGAGACAGAGAATCTGATTTTTACTCGTTGTTGAGAGTACAGCTCAGAGGCCTGAAGCGCATTCAGTGTCCTGCAGCTGTCCCCACCCTCGGTCCCCAGCAAACACAACCCTCCTGACCCCCGGCCCCTGACCCCCACTGCCTACCTTCTGTATTTAGGATCTGATGCCTCTGCGGGCCTCACAGAGGTGGGGTCACATGGTTCTGTCCGCGCCCACCCAGGTCTGGAGTCGCTGGGTCGTCGGGTGACTCTGCTTGTGAGTTCTAGGGGACCCTCCGCGCTGTTTTCCTTGGTGGCCCCCCAGCAGCGCACCCTGAGAACCACTCAGTTCTGGTTTCCCCATGTCCTGGCCCTCCTCTCTCCCCATGTCCTCGCTGACACCTGTTGCATCCTGCTACTTGGTCTTCAGTCAGTCCTCCTGGTGGGAGAGATGATCGGGTGAAATTTAAAACTTGATTTCGAATGAACTTGTTTCCTTGAACGTCGGTCCTTTCTTGAAAACTAAGGGCAGAGTAATGAAGTTCCAGTTGGTCGATGTTTGGCTCCGTTAGGAAGCCCTGTGCAAAATGATACCCCAAGGGCCCGGGTCAGTTGCATTCTGAGTGAAAGTCCAGCACCAGCCAGGTTGGTGCTGCCTGGACAGAGCTTTCTAGAACCTTCTCCAGATGCTTGCAGGCGCTCTGTCCCCACTAGGACTTCACCATCCAGTCTCAGTCTCCATGGAGCTGGGACACTGAGCATTGGCAGAGCTCAGGACGCTGGAGGTTACCAGGATTAACTTGCAACAGGAATCTACCCAAGGAACTGGGTGCATGGAACGTGTGGATGCTTCTTTCTCAGGGCTGGGGACTCTTTCCGTGGGGTGCATCGGCCTTTGTGCTGGAGATGCTCTCCTAGGGACTAACTGCATTTATAAAGCCCATGAGGTTTGCCTGCAGCTCCCAGGAACCCACAGCATCTACCCCAAGCAAAAGGTGGCTGTCACCCCACCAGCTTCTGGCTTCCTGCTCAGCAGACTTTGGCTCCTCTGTATCCCTGTCTCCCCATGCCATGATCGCGCAGTACTTGGCAGCTGTTTCACTGCTTATGGTTCTGTGGGTCGGGGATTTGGGCGGGGATGGCTTGTCCTTGCTGAATGTGGTGGACGGGTCACTCAGTCAGTGGCGTGGGTGGGTGGCCTGGAGGATGGCCTCTAGCACGGATCCTGCCCCAGGGTGGGGCTTTATGGACCAGGACGGAAGGAGGTGAGCTTGTGGCAAAGTGGGCCAGGCTCTACTTCCTCCGGCCCTGCAAACAGGCAAGCAAACAAAAATTCAAAGAACACTCTCTTGGGGGAAGGCCCGCTGGCCTCTGCTTCCCTCTTTCTACCACACTGAGTGCCTGGGTCCCCCGGGCCCCCGGCCCTGGCTGAGGCACTGGGGCCAGGATGCCTCAGAAGTGGTCCGCCTATAAGACTCCGGCCTGGCAGCCAGGACAGCATCCACTTAAGGGACATGCAGAGTAAAGGATCACAGGGTACATCTCAGAGGAGGTGCTCCCTCCTAGCAGCACCAAATGAACCATCGGGGGTCAGGGGCTGGGAATAGTGATGTAAGGTGAGTGGAGTCTGGACAGCTGAGGTGATATTACCAGTGGTGGCCTCCTGGGTGGAGAGCTTGGGTGAGCTGCCCCCACTTAGGGAGCTCCCAGTGTCCCCAGAGCCTGGGGTGCAGGAGGGAAGCCCACAGAGGGCCGACCAGTGGTCAGCGAGCTGTGTCTTGGAGGCTTCACGTGGGGGCTCGGGCCACCCGTCCCCAGGCAGCCTCTGTGGTTAGCTCGCGGGTCTGCGTGGGGCAGCAACCATGCTCCCAGGCCTCACCGGCTGCGTCTTGGGGAGCATGACGCCCAGCAGACGCCTGGTGGAATGCTGTCGGCTCCCCTTGCTTCGTAATGTGGTTTTTTATAGTCGGGGGACTGGTTGTGCCGAGGCCTCTGCCAGCTGACTGTAAGCTCGGGATTAGAGGCCCGGCCCTTTGTGCGAGCTGGTGCGGCTGCTGGGGTGGGGCGGCGGGGAGCGGCCCTCTCCTCCCCTGCCCTCCCGCCACCGCCACCGCAGGGCAGCAGCTCCCAGCCCATCCGTGCAGCGGAGGCTCTGTGGGGTATGCCCGGGCGGCCCACCGGCTGGGCTGCTGTCCCTCTCGGCCCCCTCTGGGGTCTCTAAGCAAGCGCGGACACCCTCGGGGGGCCTTGAGTGGGTGGATCAGAGGGCAGGGTGCTGCACCCCCGAGAACCCCAGGAGAGCCACTGTGGCCTTGGCGGGTGACAGAGGTGTAACTGGGAAGCCTTCCCCCTGCAGCCCCGTCCGCCTGCAGGGCCGCCCCGGGACCTGCCCTTCGGGAGCCAGCGTGCCTTTCTTTGGGCAACGGACGGAGGGCAGGAGGGCAGGGCTCGCAGGCATTCTTGTGTGGTGACGCCAGCTGAGCATGCAGCCCCACGTGGCCCGGTGTCCCCATTCACTGGGCGGTGGTGCGGGATTTCATTCACCCTGGCGGGGCTCCGGCCCAGCAGGAGGCCTCCCCCCTCCACCCCTGGGCTGTGCTGACTCACGCGGCCTGCCCTCTGCTGGCCCATTGCCTGTGGGCACGTTTCCCACTCGAAAACAGGTCCCGGAAGGGGTCTGCGAGGTGGGCACTATGCATCACTGGCTGCAGCCCGCGGCCACCTCCTGTGGGGGGCAGGCCCACCTCACACACACACACTCACTCTCGGAGCAGCCCCGAGCCAGGAGACCGGGTCAGGGGGCACCTACTGAGACCCAGGCCCCCCTGGCTGCTTCCTGGCAGGCGAACCTCACGCTAGGGGACCTGCTCCTTGCTTCTGATGAGCCTGGGCATGTGAGAGAGCTGGAACCCCCTCCCGGCCTCCTCCTGGGGCCGCGTCCTCCTGAGGCACCCCGGCTCCTCATCCTGGCCAGTGGAGGCCCACGGAGAAGACCGAGGGCCAGCAGGGTGGGACGCCTCCTCCCAGCCGGCCTGGCTCACAGCAAGCTTGCCTGGGTGGGCTGGTGCGCACAGGCCCGATGGCCAGACGTGTGCCCACGCTGCTGCGACAAGTTGTGTGGGCCTGAAGGACAGGGTGGGGTTTTCCCCAGGCCAGGCACAGGCTCCTCCCGGGCGCTCAGGGGACACTCACGCCACCCCACCCCCGCATGTGAAGGGTTCGCTCGAGGTTCCCGCGTTCTCCATCTGGTGGCCCCTGGGCCCATTCTGCAGCGGTCCCGCCCCGTGGATGCTGGGGCCAGGCCGACACGGGGTCTGGCCTCCCTCTGCAGGGGCCGGAGTCTTCTTCCTGTCCTCGGCCGAGGGAGAGCAGATCAGCTTCCTGTTCGACTGCATTGTCCGCGGCATCTCCCCGACCAAGGGCCCCTTCGGGCTGCGGCCGGTTCTCCCAGGTGCGTGTGGGAGTGTGGCCTGCGGGGGAGGGGCCGGGGGGGGCCACTGATGGGTCAGCCAGGCTGCCCATGGGGAGGGATTGGCCGCCGGGCTCCCGAGGGGACAGCACACGCCGTCCTCGCCTTTCCTCCGCGGGGTCACAGCTCCTGGGACCCACACACTCTGGCTGTACCAGGTGGGGCCCCAGGAGGCCAGAGACCCCGAGTGGGGCTCACGGAGACCTTCTGAGCTGGACTGGTGTGGGGTCTTGCCCCACGAGGCTGGGACTGTGGGCTGGGGCCAGAGCCAGCCAGGTCCCAGGTGGAGTTTGTGTTTTGGCTGGAAGCGGCCTTGTGCGCTTGCCTGGTGCGTGGCAGGTGGTGGGTGGCGGGTGGGGTCTCACTGGTGGTGGGTGCGAGGCTGCACTGAGCTCCCCTCATCTTGCCCCCACTCCCTGGTTGTGGCTGGGGCGCATTCTCCAAGAGCCCTGGGCAGGACAGAGCCGGACGCCGGAGGGGCCACGCTACCCCGGGCACCGTGGGTCCCCAGCAGGGCGGGACCCCCGAGATCCTGGGCACTGTGGGGCCCCAGCAGGGCGGGATCCCAGAGGTCCTGGCCCCTCAGGGATAGCCCAGGAGGGACAGAGGCTGGTTCTTGTCCCTACAGCCTCCTTAGAGGCTCACCGGGTGCGTGGTACCCAGGATCGCTGGTACTCCCCGCAGCGCAGGGAGGTGGTCCTTGTCACATTGTCCAGGTGGGAGACATGGCAAGTGGTCAGTGAGCTCGCGTCTGTGGTCTCCTTGCACGGGTGCCACAGCCAGGGGGCGGGTCATTCAGGGCCCCTGGGAAGGACTGGGTCCACTTTGCTCAGCAGATCCCTCCCCCACCTCCACACCCCACAGGGGCCCTGGGGGGACGGGTTGGGGTTGGGGGCGGGCTGGGGACTGAGGAGGTGGCTCCTGTGGCCCATTCTTCTCCAGCTGGGCTCTGCTGGGTGGTGCGGTGGCGCCCTCTGCTGGCGCCCTCCTGCCTGGCAGCCACCGGTCCATGCGGACAGCAGGGTGTGGACGGGCTGGTGGGGCTCTGGGTGGCATTGGGTCTAGGCCCTGTGATGATCGGGCTCTCCTGCGAGGTGGCCTCTCCTGGGTCAGCAGCCTCACACCCCGGGCTTTCTGGGGTGTCCCTGCGCTCACGCCTGCTCAGCCGGACCCACGGGGAGACAGTCAGGAGGGGAGAGATGAGAGTTCCGACGTCCGCTCTGCCCTAAGCACAACCCTGCGCGGCCCCGTCCTGGTCCTGCCCTGACTGGGATGCACTCTCTCCACACCCCCACTTTGCATATGTGGACAAGGGGCTCAGGGAGTCCATCCAATGCCAGCGTCCCCACCGTGGGCATCACCTGCTGGCTTTGGGGCACCAGATATGGGCTGCTGGCTGGGGGATCTGGAGGGGGCGGGTGCCCTGAGACTGGTGCCCCGTGGCTGGGGAGGAGCTGGGACTTGCAGGGGAGGGGGTCACCTGGGGCCCTGCCATGGCCTTGAGCCCCAACCCCCAGCACATGTGTGGCCCTGGTGGTGCTGGACTCACTCACTGTGACACCTGGGTGGCGCCCGTGGCCGAGGGCCTGGGGTGGGAGCAAGGAGGCCACGTCTCCTGACTCTCCTCTCTGCTGCAGACCCGAGCCCCGGGGGTCCTGCCGCTGCAGAGGAACGCGTGGCCCAGGAGGCCCTGGAGGCCCTGAGGCTGGAGAAGCGGCTCAGCCTCCTGTCGCACACGGGCCGTCTGGGCAGCGGAGGTAGGGGAGGTAGGGGAGGTAGGGGAGGTGGGGGGGTGGGGAGGTAGGGGAGGTGGGGGTGGTGGGGGAGGAGGGTGCAGGTGGGGGAGGAGAGAGAGAAGGGTAGGAGGGGGAGGAGGGGAGGAGGGACGGTGGGGGAGGAGGGACGGTGGGGAGGAGGGGGAGGGGGAGGTAGGTGGGCTGCCTTGCTGCTGTGGGGAGGGGCCACCACTATGGGGCCTGCGCCAGGCTCCTGCTTTTTGGTCATGCCTCCCCTCCTGCTCACTCCTTCATTCCTTCCCTCCTGCTCACTCACTCATTCCTTCCTCCTCTCTGCTCACTCATTCTTCCCCTCACTCATGATGCCACAAACATCATGAGTGGTGCTGCCAGAGAGCTGGGAGAGCTGGGAGAGCTGGGAGAGCTGGGTGCAAACTCTGCTTGCCCAGCAGCCCTGTGGCCTGCGTAAGGCTGTGGGCTCCTGTGGGCTTCAGCTTTACCCTTGGTGCCCAGACAAAAGGGCTCCTCCTCAGCAGCCCGAGACTCTCCGTTTGCTGGGAACTGGACAGAAGGGGCTGGGGGGGGGGGGCTGCCTGGGGTGGGGGTGGGGAGACAGGTGGGGCCTGTCTGTCCTCTCTACTGCTGCCAGTCCAGTCCGGTGGGGTGCACTGTGAGCCTGCCCCCAGAAGTAAGGAGCCTCTGCTGGCACTGAACCGTGATCCTCTGATTCCCAGAGGGCAGTGACCAAGGGGGCAGCGCGAGGACACGGGTTCCAGAGAGGGCTGGGGGCGGGAGGGTGGTGTGGTGTGGTGGTGGTGGTGGTGGTGGTGCAGTGTGTGTGTGTGTGTGTGTGTGTGTGTGTGTGTGAAAGATTGGTATTCAAGGAGGGGCCTGACCTGGTGAGCTGGTTTGTGCACAGGCCTCTGGGTGGGGGCGGGGGGGGGTGCTGGGGAGGGGGCGACGGGGGCCTGGAGAGTGCTGGCCCTCGGCCGATGTCTCCCCCAGCCCTCCCTGAGCCCACCCCAGCCCCCAGAGCAGCGTCAACACCCCGACCGCCCTGTGCTCTGTGTCAGGGGATGACCGCAGCCTGTCCAGCTCTTCCTCAGAGGCCAGCCACTCGGATATCAGCGCCGGCGGCCGCCTCACGGCATGGCCAGAGCCTTCCTCGTCCTCGGCCAGCACGTCGCAGGAGGGTCCAGGGCTGGCAGCCGCCCAGGCCTCTGCGGAGACCGTGCCGGGCACCTCCAGGCCGCCCCCCAAGCCGCTGCGGCCTCGGCAGCTGCAGGAGGTCGGCCGCCAGAGCTCATCGGACAGCGGCATCGCCACGGGCAGCCACTCCTCGTACTCGGGCAGCTTCTCCTCCTGCGCCGGCAGCAGCCTGGACGTGTGGCGCGCGGGCGACGAGTTCGGCTCCCTGCTCAGCCTGCCGCCTGCGGCCGGGGTGTCCGAGCCCAGCCTGTGCGCCTGCCTGCCGGGGACAGCCGAGTACCAGGTGCCCACGGCCCTGCGGCACCATTATGACACGCCGCGCAGCCTGCGCCAGGCCCCCGGGGACCAGACCTCGGCTGTGCAGGGCAGCCTGGACGATGGTGGGGCCGGGGACTCGGGTGGCCAGATGTCCGCGGGGTGTCCCTCCAGCTGGCTGGGCGCGAGGCAGCGGGGACAGGTGGCGGAGGGCCCGGGCAGCGAGGCCCCTGTCGAGACCTGGGAGGCAGGCAGCCCCCATGCAGGGCCTCCTCCAGCTTTCTTTTCCACCTGTCCGGCCTGTGGAGGACTCAAGGTAAACCCCCCTCCCTGAGAGCCACAGCTCAGGTTCGCTGCTGCGGGGGTTGGGTTCTGTCCCTCTCGGCAGGAGGGGAAAGGGTGCCCTTGGTGCTGTTGGTGAGGCACGGTGGGGAGGGCCTGAGGGGAGGGGTGACAGTCCCAGAGGCTGCCCTCTGGGGAGTGGAGCCTGCAGGGAGGGCCCCCAGGACTTGGAGAGGGCGACTAGCCTGCAGCTCAAGTGCCTTCTGGAAAGTGGGAAGCTCTGGGTGGAGCAGGCTGGGGGCGTGCACAGTCCCAAAGCCTGAGGATGGGGTGCAGGGGACACAGGCCGGTGCTGTGTCCCAGCCGGCGTTAGCCAGGCCCTCGGGGTGATCAGGGCTGGGAGGCCCCTCGCGGGCCGCAGCCACCTCCCCGTCCAGTTCCCCTGCCTACCCGGTGGATGGCCATTCTTACTTCTCAGATACATCCCTTCCGTGGTGCACAGTCAGGTCATCTGCTAAAAATTAGCTTCCTCTGCAGCAGCTGCAGACCCAGATTCCCAGGACAGGAGCGTGGCACGGTGCGTGTAGGACGAGCTTTACCTGTCCACTGCACACCTCCTCTGTGAAGCAGCGCCACGGGTGGCCCGTCTTACAGGGGAGGAAACTGAGGCTCAGGAGGCGCAGGGACTTGTGGGGTCTGGGTCTCATGACTCAAGAACCTCCACTGCTCACCCACCAGCCTGTTCCTCAACCTGCAGGCTCCCGGGCCAGGGGTGGGCAGGCAGCAAGGTGGTGACGCCAGGAGGCCCCTGGGAAAGCTCTGGAAGCTGTGCCTCACCCCCTTCACCCTCCTGGCTGAGCTGGAAGGCTAGGGGTCAGGACCAGAGGGGCTGGGGCTCCAAGGCCCATCCGTTTGTGTTTGGAGGCACGTGGGTCGCCCGGGGTAGAGCTGCTTCCGGCGCCCTCCGTGGCCTGTCTGCTCGCCTGCATGGGGTGCAGCTGCGTTGCCTGGTTTCCTACATTGTTCTGCAGTTTCGTGCACCCCGAGAGGTGGGCCGGTGCCCGTGCGGCTCGGGACCTGGGCTGGCGCCGTCCTGCGCTGTCTGGCACCCGCCCCCATCCAGGGGGCCAATGGCTCACCTGTAAATATTTTGCTTTGTACCTTTACCGTCGGCTAAAGACCTTTGTTGCTCTTTTACATTTTTAAAATCGGACCTGTTTGTAATACATTCTTAGATTGGAAATAAAATTTTCTTTTCTTACCATCTTCTCCTTTTCCATTTGCTAGCCTCCCCACCTCCCGCCAGGCCCTCCCCGCGGGGCCTCTGTCTCCAGCCTGTGGGTCTCAGGGGGCAGCACGGGGCCTCGCCTTGTAGCCTGCCTTGAGCCTCAACACACTGGGGGCCTGAAGCAGGAGAGGCAGCTCCCGACAGCCCATGGGGCGTGTGTGCGTGCGCACTTGCATTCGCGTGTGACGTGTGCATTCAGCTGCATGTGTGTGCACTGTGCGTGGTGTGTGTGACCTGTGTGCGTGTGTACGTAGTGTGTACAGATGCTGCATTCATCTGCACGGTGTGTGTACACGTGTGTGCATGTGTGGTGTGTGCACAGGAATGTGCATTTGTGCATATGCATACATTTGTGTGTGGTGTTTGCATCGCACATGTGTGATGTCCGTGTGTATGCTATTTGCACAGATGCACACGTGTGTGTGTGCACATGTGTGGCATGTTCTCTGCTCACTGGAGACCACAGTGAGGTCGTCGGTGGTCACTTGGGCTCAGGCAGGTGGCTTCCCATGTCCAAGTGAGGGTGGGCACTGCTTTCTGGGCCAGTGAGAGTCCTGGCTCTGAGCCTGGAGCCCCCCTCCATCTTCCCCATTTGGTGGCCGAGCTCCAGGGATCCCACCTCCCATCTCCTGCACATCCAGGGGCCTCCACCCTGCCCTATCACTCCCATTTTACCCTGCTGGGGGGCCAGCTCTGTGGAGGCCGCGTTGGGAGCTCTGGGTGGGGTGCCTGTGAACTGTAGTGTGAGGAAAGCCAGGCTTTGGGGGCTGAGCGGCACCCCGCCATGCCAGCTGGGTGGCCTCAGGCAAGTTTCTACACCTCTCTGAGCCTCTGTTTCCTCCTGCGTAGACGGGGATGCCTACCTCCCTGGGCACACGGAGAGGGTCCAATGAGGTGATAGATGCGCGTGGGCAGTAGATGTCTATTCACAGCAGCGGTCATTAGATCCACTGTTGTCACCTCCACCCCTGAGGTGCCCCAGCCTCTGGCTGCAAAAGTAATAAGGCTGCGAGCTGCCAGCACCATGAGTGAGGTGGGGTGGCGTCTGCCCCTGCCAGGGCCCCTCGCTGTCCGGGCGCCGGGGCCTTGCCTGGTGGGGCTGGGCGCAAGCAGAGTGGGCAGATCCATGCTGGGAGTCCTGCCGCCTTGTCTCTCCAGGGCATGTGCAGCCCACTGGCCCAGACCTGGAGGTTGGGGTCCTGGCCCCCAGCAGGGGGAATGGGCTGAGCTGCACCCTGCCCATGCTCAGCGTTGGCTTTGATGCTGTGCCCGCAGGAGCGGCCCCTGGAAGCAGGTGCGGGCTGTGGTGGGGCCGTGGGCCCTTGGCGCTTGCTCCGCGGCTCCCGTGGACAGACGGTTACCTCCTCTAGTACCTCAGAGGCCTGTGTGTGAGGGCTCCCGGTGGGCAGCCAGCCTCTGGTCTGCGACCAGACTGGGGGCCCTTAGGTCGGGGGCCGGGGGGTCGGGGGGCCAGACACACTCTGCCCAAGTCCCGGGCCTGCACAAGAGCTCCTTTAAGAAGGTGATGGGTTAGACCAGCTCAGTGTGTCCCTTGAGCCTGACCAGGACCTGGGTCAGGCTGCTGTGTCTTGAGTCTGGGGCATTAAGCAGAGGCCCCCGGGGCAGGGTTGGGGTTTCCACACCCCCATTCCAGTTCCCAGCTCCTCACAAGGCCCTGCCACCAGCCTGTGATCCCCAGACTGCTGGGGATGCTGGATCTGCTTCAGTCACTTGCCCTGGGCCCCGGTGGGGACGGGGGCGGGGGTAGGGAGGCATCCCCCAAGGGCTGTGGGAGGCCCAGGCCCAGGTGACAATGAACCTGCTGGCCATGGGCCACTGTCCCTCCCTCCTGATCAGATCCTGTCCTCAGCTCTGAGGCCCCCATGGCCCCATCCTTCTGCAGGCCCCTCTGCACTTCTAATCAGCCCCCCCCCCCCAAGAGTCCGTTGTGCAGTTCAGGGGGTCCTGTCTCATTTTCATGGCCTCTGTGGGCCCCTCCACAGGTGCTGGTGGGGCAGGGCCCGCAGGGCCCAGGGAGCACCTGCTCCAACCTCTGAGCTCCTGATAGCCACACCCCCTTCTGCACAGCCCTGAGTAGACTTTGGAGGCTCAGACTTAGCCTAGGGCCCAGAAGAAGGCAAGCAAGGGTCAGGGCTGCCAGCTGGGGGTCCTGGGACACGTGGGTACGGGACCCCCTGGGAGATGAGGAGTCTGGGCTGGGGTCCGCCAGAGGCAGCAAGGCCCCCAGTGACCTGGGTGCAGCTGGGTTAGCATCCTGCTGGTCAGGCTGTGGCAAGGGGAACGGGGTCCAGATGAACAGGTTGACACGTGTTCTCTTTGGTGCAGGGAGCAGCTGCCTCACCCCCTGGCCTTCTGACGACACACTCAGGTAGGCCCCAGCTTTGGGACCAGCTCCCGTGTGGCCTCAGGACAAGGGAGGTGGGGGGCATGGCGACTGCAGTCATGGCCTAGCCAGAGGCTCTGCAGCAGATGGGGCAGCAGGTGTTAGTGGCCATGATGGAGACAATGGGCAGAGGGTGACATGGACGGGGGAGGGGTGGCCGTGGGGTCGGGGGACAGAGTGCAGCCAGAAGGAGCCCTGGCAGGGGCGGGGCAGGCCCAGCCGGAGGATGAGGACAGGGTGGCTAAGGGTGGCCAGCTAGCCCGGAGGGCTGTGTGCATGGAGCGGGCAGGGCCAGGCTGCCTTGGAGCCTTGACCTGGGGGTGGGAGCTCCATCCTCGAGGTGATGGAGAACAGGGTTGAGGGGTCCTGGTGATGAGCAGGGAGTGAGGGGAAGACTTGAGGTCTCCAAGCTCAGTTAGAAGGTGAAGGGTGGGCAGAAGCTGGCTGCTGCCCAGGGGAGGGCCTAGAGGGTTGAGGGAAGCTGAAGTTTGGGGAAGGTTGGCCTCAGGCAGGGTGGAGGGGTCGGGGAGGCTCAGGGGTCAGCTCTGGGCCTTAGCCTTAGGACTGGTGGCCCTAAGGAGCTCAGATCCTCTGTCCTTCTCGAGACACATGACACCTGTTGGGGCCAGACCTGCAGGCTGACCTGCAGTGGACCTCTGGGGGCAGGAGGGGGCGGGCAGGGCAGGCTGGGTCCACAGGAAAGCCCCAGCAAGCTGCTCTTGGGTTCTCTGGGTCAGGATGGGGCACTGAGCTCCACCCCAGGACAACCTATCCCCTGACGCCCACTCCCGGATGGTCCCAGACACCTCCTCCTGCTGTCCACTCGGCTGCCCCTAGGGCCCTGTGGACGTCTTTTACCCAGACAGCGGGTGGGCCCCCGGGAACAGGAGAGGACGGGGCCCAGGTGTCAGGATCTACTGGAGGATACAGACCCTCTGTTTCCACTGAGGCCCGGGGCTGGGGAAGTGGGGCCTGAGTCCGGCAGAGACGGGGATGAACTGGGCCTGGGGCGGTGCGGCCAGAGGCTTGGTGACGGCGGGGGCGCCTCGGGAAGGCAGGAGAGGTCAGGCTGCTCTCCTCCGTCCTCGGCTCTGTTCCGGCTTCTAGCAAGGCTGGGAGCAGCTCTCCCTGAAGGAGCGGGAGGGAGGAGGGTGAGGGGGATCTGCCCCCCATGAACACTGCTTAGACACGGAGGCCAGGAGGGAGCCCCTCCCCTGCTTCCTCCTCCCTTGCCGGCTGTGGACTGGGCAAGACGTGGCTCCAGCCCTAGAACCAGCTCCAGGCGTCCTTCCTAGCCTCCCCTCAGGTCCTGGTTCCGCCCCTAAGGGCTCTCCCAGCTGCACCCGGGCCTCTGCCTCTGCCCTTCCTTCTTTCTCGTCCTCTATCCCTTGGCACATGCTTCCTTCTCCAGGCAGTCTGCTTGGATTTTCCCCTGGCCTCACTGGTCTAAGTGTCTCCCTTGGGTGCTTCTGCCTATCACCTTGGGGTACATGGGCGAGGGTCTGCGTCTGCCCCTCTGTGTGCCCAGGTCCCCTCCAGGCTGCTTGATGGAGAGTCTCACACTGTTGGTGTTCAGATGGGTGTGCAGAGCCCAGGTGGACACGGCGTGCCCGGGGGGTGGTGGGGAGAGGGCCCTCGCCCTGCTCTGCCTGCCAAGGCTGCACCCCTTCCTGTCCTAGGCTGCATTCAGGGCGCTGCAGGTGCGGTAGATCTACAGAAACCCCTCGCCTCACAGCTGAGAGGCGGAAAGCAGCCGGTCCTTGGCTTGATGAGAGCACAGGACACGCTGAGCTGCCGATCGGAGAAGCCCAGCGCCGGGCCTTGGCTGGCCAGGGCCGTGCGCGAACAGGCAGCCAGGGCCCCAAGCCTGGCCTGGAAGCTGAGTGTCCAGAGGGCCCTCCCCGTGTTCCCTGGGGTCAACACGTCCAGCCTTGCCCACCCCGTGTCCAGCAGCAGCCTCTGGCCTCCCTCCTCGAGGACCTCCCTTCCTCGCTCTGCAGCAGGGCCACCTCCTCATCAGGGAGCACCCCCGGCTCTGCCCCCTGGAGCACCCCTGCTGCCTGTGTACAGACTCTGCTGGGGTCCGGAGCCGCTCCTGGGAGCCCCACACCCCTGCACTGGCCGGAGGGTCTCCCTACAGGGTCAGCAGCAGGAACGTTTGGGAACAGCAGTTTCCCGGGGGCATCGGTGTCCTGTTTTTGACATCAGGGACGTGGGCACAGCATCCTGAGGGGGCCCTGCCCTGCAGGGACCGTGTAAGGAGGGGGGTGGGTCTCCTGGGCCCCCAGGCTGGGAGGGGCAGGAACCGTGTGACTGGCTTTGGGATCTGGCTCCACTTGGCCACCGTCTGGCCCTGGCCCTGGCCGGGGTGCAGGCTCTGTGGCCTTCACCCCCTCACCGGGAGCAAGCAGGCAGTACAGTGTGCCCTGCACCCCCGGCCTTGCTGTGGCAGCTAAGGGCACAGGGGGGAAGGCACCATGCAGGTGAGGACCTTCAGGAGACGCCCCCTGGCAGCGGGTGCCCTGTGGTGGGATGGGGACCTGAGGGACACAGGGTCTGCCTCCTGAGGTCC